TCACCTTAGGGGATTAACATCCCCATTTGTGGAACTCCACGTTTCACATGAGATATTACCCTTTACAAGCTGATCTTTTTGACCAGGAGACAGGTGTCGAATCTTCTCGATGTTTGCCTGTTTGGTGGCCAGTATGGACTGCAGCACCAAGGTTTGATCATTCTGCGCGCTGTCGATGGCGCTTTGACCTAGGCTGTCATCAACTGCTTGACTTTCTAGAGGATGCACCCCCTGCTCATTATGATTCATGTGTGTGATTGCCTGTGGATGTGTAGGGAGGATGTCTGAAAATAGGGCATACACCGATTGCAATTTCAATTGGGGTCAACGATGACCCGCCATGTTTTGAGGTTCCATGTTCGATCCTCACATGGTTCCCTTCCACAGCACCTCGCAGTTAAGCTTTGCCTGAAACACTAATGTCATCCAACAACGGAAATGAAACTTGGTGCTTCTGGTGCTTCTTTACATCCTGCAAGTTGGATCATGACACTTTTGCTATTGGCCAAACACGTGAACGTCTGAACCACCCCCGGGGTCCAACTCAAACCACCCAAGCATCGATGGAAATGGCCTTGAAGACAGCTCTCGAAACATCATGAAACATCTATCGTCTGCCAATCAGACACTGATTCAAATTGAAACCGATGTCATGATTTCTCTTCGGAATTGCAATCTACAGTCTACATCGGTTACATTTACCCTTTAACATCCTTTAACATCCTCTATGTAAATCTATCCAACCAATTCCACGCCACAGGCATCACCCCCCGTTCGGGATCCGTTTCCAGGGGGGCACCCTTGTACCTCATTTAACCGGCTATAACCTCCAGCTCCTCAATTGAATTAAAGGCTGTAAAACTATGAAATTATTATGAGAATTTATGAGCTATTGGGTTGGCTCTGCATGTCCAATAAACCTCAAGAAACGTGACAATTCATCACACTGGTGTCAAAGAATTCCTGGCATTTCTCCATGTGCCTTCCATCCTCAGAACCCTCCTCAGCGTGAAGGTAGATAGGCCGGTTGGATATGCCATTTATTAACATTTATTTTGATCATTTGCATAGTGGCTGTTCCAAGTTCTGGGCCATCCCTTCTATTCATTGATCGAAGTTTGAACATTTATGTTTGGGTATATTTCATATTAGCGTTACCATTTTCTAAAAAAAAATGGGAACCCAAAAAACATCAAAAAAACATAAATAAAAATCGAAGGGCAGGACTAGTCCGGAGACATTACTTCATGATCCATCAATTTCCTCTGGTCACACCCTGCGCTGAAGCAAATGGAAGCGGACAGAACACCCCTGTGACAACCTGTTGGCGATTCTGAACGGGTTGGTGAACGATCACCGCTGGGCTACACATGTTGGAGGGCACAATTTGGATGAAACATATGAAACATGTTTTTCAAAGGACTTAAAGGCTCCAGAAGTCGAATTAATTTCTTTGGATGAACGGGTCAGAATTAAAATGATTTGTCATATGTCAAATCGCATGAAGTGATGATTCAATGTTTTTGGACGAACCAAACGGCCACAAAAACCAAACGAGTAGGAACACTAATCAGGTCACCCCCGGAAATGGATCGGGATGGTCGTTGCCTTTGATGGCCAAAGCATGCCAAAGCCAAAGCAAGTGTGATTGAAATGACGAGTTGACACAGTCCAGAATGATTCAAGTTGATTTCAAGTGAATCTTGGAATGTTAAATTCGATCGAATCTATAGTCAGCCGCTCAGCCAAGGATCGTTAAGGACCGCAAAATAGGTGAAAGCCTCGGGCCGGCGACGAAGACAAGCACTCACAGCAGAATAAGAAACACCACGCCGATTACCTATACAATCCCAGGGTGGTGATAAAAGCAGCATTGCGTTTCCTTTTGCAACTACTTATATGCAATATATATATATATACTATATTCAAATTGACCGAAATATATATATATATATATATGTTTATTATTTGTTTATAGTTTTTAAATAGGCATAATATATATATATATCCTTATATTATGTAACCTTATTCGTACGTGTATATATATATATACATATATATTCGTAGATGTATAATATATATATATACAAATTCATATGTATATATGTATATATATATGTGTGTGTATATATGTATATATATATGTATGTGTGTGTATGTGTTTGAAAATACATATACATATATAAATGTGTATGTATATATCTACATGTATATCTAAGTGTGGAAAATATGTGTATATATATATATTCATTTGTTTGTAGTTAAATGTATATATATATATGCATATTTGTTTATCTCTATCTCTCTCTCTCTCTCCATCGCTGTTAGCTCACCCTGTCCTAAAAAGTTCTTCATATTTTTATTCATATCTACGTATTTACATTTATATACACATTTAAATATGAATATTATATATATATTTGCATATGTTGTAAAACTCTGGTGGGCTGCTGAACAGTGCCGAACTTGTCCACTCCCTTTGTACTGTTGGCACTGCAGGCTTAAGTCAGGATCAATTCTGTGGGTCCACAATGTTGACAAACATCATGAACTGTGGTACCCTCAAGCGTTGTGACCATGTTGTTTAACACGGCCACTCGGGTTGGTACTGTCTTGTTGTACCATCACGCATTTACTAACCATATGCTGAAACCGAACGAACATATATATATATATGTACGTATGTATTTTTATCTTGCAAAGCATGCATCGGTGCTGGCTCATCCACTGCACAGTTGTGCCCATGGCTTGTTTGGTTTACTCACCTGCGGTTGGACATGTTGGATGAAAAGCTATACACCTCTTGAACTCCGGCCCTCAAATGTTGAGCTGCAGGCTCCGTGATTTGATACCTGCATCGGATCTTGCAGTTTATGCCGATGCTCCATTGATTTGGTGCTTATCTGAGCTTCATCCCACTGATTGTGTCCAGTGACCATGTTGAACGTCCACACAAAGTTTCTCAATGAAAAATAGATACGCTCATAGCCGTGAGTTGGGAAGTCCTTCAACCGTTGGAATATGTTGCAATGGTTGTTCTTTCCTCACTTATTGTGAACTTCACTTGGTGTCCCGATGCGCCCATTGATATCCGCCGTCGACATGGTTGAGAACCTTCTCCACAACACGGTGGTCCTGTTGGGCTCTGCTTAGTACCGTTGCCATGGGCGCGGTTGAGAGCCACATTCACACCCTGCACGTTGGCAAACAAAATATTGGCGGCAAAAACATGTTTCATCCTGCTGTTGCTCTGCTGGGGCTTCTGCTAGATTGTAGACTGCTGTTCTGCAGTCCTTGGCCAAGTGACCATGCTGACAACACCTACAGCACCGTTTCCCTTGCTGGCACCTTTGTCCTTTATCAGCTCCTTTGCTGTTTTGCCATGGCTGCTGCTTGCCTTGGCCTTTTCCTTTGAAACTTCCGTAGCCGTATTCTTTTCCTTTGTGCCCTTTGCCCTTGTATTCTTTGCCCTTTGCTTTCCTTTTCCTTGGCCTTTACCTTTAATCTTGCCTTTGTACCCGCTGATATGTTCATTAGAGTCATTAGAGCCTGTCCTCCACCGACGTATGTGTGCTGACAGCTAAAGATGGCTGTCCTTGAAATCTTGTGGGCGTTGTTGTTCCGCGAAAGTGCTCCATGACTGTTTCGCTGGCCTCAGTACGTCTGTGCTGATCCTGCTTGTAGGTGCATGTGCTGCTGAGGCGGGCCTGCTGTCTCATTCATGAGAATGGCCGCTTCGACTTGGTCAGGGGGTTGTGCTCTACCGTCTCGCTCATGACGTGCAAGTTCAAAATCCCATGTTGGGAATAACTCCTCAAAGTTCTGTGGTTGAATCTTGGCTGCAATAGTCTTGTGGGGTAGCCAACTCTGAGTGTGCCAAAAGGTATTGAGCTCCGTGCAAACCTCTAGGCCCATTCCTGTTTGCTGTTGTCTGCATACATTGGTTGCTGCAGAAGTTATTGTGCATATGGGGGTTCTTTTGAAGTTGTTGCTAGTTGCATCCAAGGTTCTGCTTCCTTTGGCGTTCCAGCTGCTGCTGTGAGTTCTGCATCTGTGGGCACTGTTGTTACTCTTTCTGCTCTTGAAAGCATGTTGGGGTAGAAGCTGTCTTGGTGCCCCATGCATGCTGTGGATTTATATCTCCATTCTTCAAACACTGCGCAGTCGCCATTGTATGTTGGGGGTTTCAGCTTCAGCCTGTGTGTCGCTGCCAGGGGCTCGGTCGCTTCATTGATTTGCTGTTGGCGATCCAAACTCATGTGTTGTCATCATTTCTGCCGTTGAGGGTCTCCCACGCTGCCCTAGTTGGGTCTTTCCTTATGCACCTTATTGTAGTTGTTGCCGCTTTCCTTTGTTGTTGCAGTCCTGGTCCGCTTGGCTGCTACCCAAATGCTCTTGCTGTTTTGCTGATGTCGCTGCCCCGCCACCATGTAAAACTCAGTTGAACTGTTGAACAACTGTTGCACCTGCCCAAGCTGTGCACTCTTTTTGTACTGTTGGCACTGCAGGCCCAAGTCAGGCTGAAGGCCGGCTGATTCACAATGTTGACAAACATCATAAACTGTTGTAAACTCAGGTGTTGTTGCCATCTTGTTTGACATATTTATAATATGTATATATATATATATTTATTTAACTATCCGTCTAATGTTGGAAAATCCGCTTGTAAGTCATGAAGAATTGAACTGGCCCGAACCAAACCTATAACCAATCCGAAACGTTCCATGGCACGTTTTTTTGCACAGTTTGGGGATGAAGGCAGTGGAAGGATCACAACTGATGGAAATGAGAGGAGGTTTTTAGCCGCTAGTGCCCTGCGGTAGTTGAACTATCTATGGAAAATCCTCCGTTGATAAATTGATAAAGCTATAGGCTATAGGTGATGTCCCAGCTAGCAACATGGGTCAGCGGTAGGCACTGTTCTCACCCAGGTCTAAGCGGGCTCTACTAAGGGTTGTTGCGCACATCGTATCGTAAAAATGGTAGGGTGACTCATTCCCGGAGAAGTCCATTGTAAAAGAAGATGCAAGCACCGGGGTACTACCGCACCCGGTGTACCATAAAAAATGGGAGGAACGGACGTGATGGCTGACAACAAATGTCAACCTAAGGCAACGCACTAACTCTCCAAGTTAGCCTCGTACATCACCATCCTTTTTTTTTAACCAATGATGTCCAGAACAGCTATCATTCTTTATCCTACGTCTTGCTTGGTCCCAGTACTGTACTGATTGAAAGGAGTTGTTAAGAGGAAACCTGCATATAATATCTACTGAGGGGGAAAGGAAAGATTTTTTTTTTCGGGTTGGTTCCCTTCAATCCAAGTCATTTGATTTTGTTCCGCGCCCCCAACAAAATATCATGAATGAATGTGTACATATAGATATACTACTTTATTCTACATAGATTAGATTCATATAAATCATGTAACCCCTCATAAAGCCGTCGACTGAAAAACTTCGGCACCACTCTTGGTTCAGAAGCAATGTAGAAGAGGAAAACGAAGACCCAGGCGGTGGAGATGGCCTCGCTCTTCGTGCGACTGACTAATGTCAAGTCACTGTCAAGTTAGGATTATCATCAAGTTACTTTTAAAAAATATCAACGAAACAACATATGTCAAGTTAGGATTCATCCCTCTCGTAGATATATAATCCAACAACTTGACATTAGTCAACTAGAAGTATCAACGCTGGATGACTGGATGACTGGATACAGTAACTGGTGTTGGAAAATGCTTCGGGGATGTCCCAGCTAGCCATGTTGATTACCAGTAGTACCGCACAAGGCGGTGGCGGGAGTTTCAAAAATAGGAAACCTATAGGAGAGATTGGTTGTTGTGAATCAGGGATGGCAGGGCGAATCCACTGATGGACCGAAAGATGCTTGAGGTCTCCTCTCTTTCTCTCACTTTCTCTGACTATCTACCTACCTACCTATCTATCTATGTATCTATCTATCTATCGATCTATCTATCTCTCTATCTCTCTATCTATCTATCTATCTATCTGTCTGTCTGTCTGTCTGTCTGTCTGTCTTTCTATCTCTCTATCTATCTATCGATCTATCTATCCATCTATCTATCTGTCTATCTGTCTACCTGTCTATCTGTGGTGCAGTGTCATTCAGTGTAATGTAGTGTAGTGTAATGTAGTGTAGCGGAGTGTAGTGGAATGTAACATAGTGTAGTGTAATATAGTGTAGTGTAGTGTAATTCAGTGTAGTGGAGTGTAGTTGTGTAGTCGTAGTTGTAGTTGTAGTGTAGTGAAGTGTAGTGTAATGTAGTGAAGTGTAGTGAAGTGTAGTGTAATGTAGTGAAGTGTAGTGGAAGGTAGGGTAGTGTAGTGTAATGTAGTGCAGTGGAGTGTAGTGGAGTGTAGTGGAGTGTAGTGGAGTGTAGCTGTGTAGTTGTGTAGTTGTGTAGTTGTGTAGTTGTAGCGTAGTTGAGTGTAGTGTAGTGTAATGTAGTGAAGTGTAGTGGAAGGTAGTGTAGGGTAATGTAGTGTAGTGTAGTGGAGTGTAGTGTAGTGTAATGTAGTGAAGTGTAGTGGAAGGTAGTGTAGTGTAGTGTAGGGTAGGGTAGTGTAGTGTAGTGTAGTGGAGCGTAGTGTAGTGTAGTCTAATGTAATCTAGTGTGCTGTAATTTAGTGTAGTGGAGTGTAGTGGAGTGTAGTTGTGTAGTTGTAGTTGTATTGTGGGGTGTAGTGTAGTGTAGTGTAGTGTAATGTAGTGTAGTGTAGTGAAGCGAAGCGAAGCGACATCTGAACCTCCAAAAGTGGTCCGAACATGGCGTGCTTTGTACATTTTGACTTCGAAATGCGCTTCGCCCCACAACGGCGTGCACTTTTTCAACATCTGAACCTCCAAAAGTGGTCCGAACATGGCGTGCTTTGTACATTTTGGCTTTGAAATGTGCTTCGCGCCACAACGGCGTGCGCTTTTTCAAAATCTGAACCTCCAAAAGTGGTCCGAACATGGCGTGCTTTGTACATTTTGACTTCGAAATGTGCTTCGCGGCACAACGGCGTGCAATTTTTCATCTCTCATCTGGCCAGCTGGCTCCGCACCCGCCGCTTTAGCAAGCCTACTTTTCGACCATCCGGAGCCTCAAATCATTGGAAAAACACAATGTTTCGCGACTTTCCTACCTTTTCGCGCATCTGCATCTTCTTTCTTCTGGCTCTTTCTCTTCTCTGATCTTCTCTCTTCTAATCTTTCTCTTCTCTCTGCCTCTGCCCTGCTCTGCTTTTCATCTGTCCATATTGTCGGAAGTTTGACTTCTAAACTTCCTTCGACCAGAGGGTATATCCATTAAAGCCCTATTACAGTATATCCCTATGATGGTTGATATACCCTCTGGTAAACGTTTACATAACTATGGATAATCACAATTTTTAATGGGTAAATCCACTATAAATGACAATTTTCAATAGCAAACTGTTAGTTTACCAGAGGGTATCCCCAATCTATTCCATTATGTTCCCATGATCTCCTCTCCTCATGTTTCCGGTGGCCTTCAACGGCCGTACCACTTCTTCCCAGCTTACCCCACCAGCGATGCTCATGAACAGGCTCAGCATTGTGTCCTGCAGGCACAATTGCTTGGCAAATGGGGGATGGTGAACATCCGATGAATCCAGGAAAAAGGTAGGATATTATACATATGATATGTGGCATGTGTTATGTTATGTAGAGTTTGACATATGACATGTCATACCATATGAAAAGTTGCTAGATATGCAATATGTTATACAATGTTGTGGCTTATATATACATATATATCGCACGCATTATATATCATGACTGTAATAGGATATAGTATGAGAAGAATGGTACAGGAATTGAATATATAAATACAACATGGTTCACAGCCTTGGACACGTCACACATGCCATTTACATCTAAGATTGCCGCACGTGTTTCGAAGGCCACGGGAAATCATCTCGAAAACTTCTTCAAAAATCATTGTTAGTAAAGCAAAAGGATCCACCATCCCCAATTTTACCATGTTTATGGCTGGGATTTCAACCAAAATATGGGCAGGTTATTCTTGCTTTACCCACATTATATCATATCATGTTCACGACACTTCATGGATCTTCCTTGTGAATAGAAAATGGACTCAATGGACTCAAAAAGAACTCTCAACGCGAATAAGTATTTAAAAAAACGTGAGTGTATATATATATGTATGTATGTATATATTGCATATTTATTTATTGTATACGTATGGATACATATTCAGTTTCTTCCGAACCGAGGTAACCTTGGCCTTCCAACGAACTGGTCATGTCAAAGGTCGACCCACCTCCAAGGTCCCGAAGTAGCGCATGCTCGCCTCGCCCGCTATTTTTCTCGATAATAAGTAATAACTCATGGAACATATTATAGTTATCAATACATATTCATAGTTATTATATAATGGCTATAAAATTGTGATAATCTCACTAATCAGCTCTATATATCTACTGTACCATTTGAAACCACAAACTGGTTTTGAGTACTCCAACCATGTTTCTTTTGAGCAATGGCGTTTGGGGGGTCACAGCTGGGTACCCAAAAGGGATGGCTTTGGGCACACAAAAGCCAAAGGACATGAACATCATTGAACATCTGTGGGAGGGTAATGATACAAGAAGGCCCGGTGACAAGAATTGTGGCATCCATTTTTTACCTTTTGGTTTCCCGATTAAAAATTGCTAGTGAGTTATAATGAGTTGCATCGAGATATAACTTGGGTCATGTTAAGAAAGTAGCCACATACACTCACGTATGCCATCTCCATGGCCATGTGAATTCCATACCAGTCCCATGGCAAGTTCCCAGAGTCTGACTGCACCGCCCACGGCAAATGCAGCTCTATAGTCTATAGTTAAGTTATGAAACCAGCAGCCCCAGGTAGGACTTGTATGAGTCTTGGTCATGAGTCATAAGTGTCTCACGCCAAAAAAAAGTTGGGGTTGGTCTAGGCCTAGGTTGGTTTCTCAAGAACAAATCCGCGGCCATACCTATGTAAGCCCCGCTGAAGCCCACTAATCGGAAAGAACAATACATTCCTGCCCACTGGTGCCGACGTGCTGCAATTTCCATTTCCTCTGAGAGGTTGTTGTCAAACATCCTTGGCTGAGTAGACAGTGGCATCTCAAGGGTTGCACCTCCTCAAACCATGGCCACCTGTAGTTTGCCTCGCAAGAATTCATCTTTTAGCTTCAGCTGGCTAGTCCAAGGTCCTCAATCCATGCCAACCATTTTGCGAATTTGGGGGATGTAAACAAGGACTCGGAGTGACCCCAAATGCACCAACGCATGACCAACGGGTCTGGAAATGTCTGAAGTGAATCAGCGTCCGACCATTCGTATATGGGCATTGTATAGAGCAGTTTGCTTCCACAAACACATCACACAACCACCTACTGCCGCGGCCTAGCCATTGTGCTCAGACTTCCCCAATGCTTTCCGCACGGCAAGGATGAGTTTGACTCCCCCCCGGCAAGACTAAGAGTCACCACTAGGCACCACTAGGAACTGATTTCAGGATTGACTGACCCCTTATCCACCTTCACTATCCACTCTTTGGGGAGACCAAATGGATCCAAATGGATAAACCAACATCTCTGGGCTCGGATCTTGGCCAAGGATCAAGACATCCCCAACTGCTTGGGCAAAGAGTACTGAAAAGACCTCGGCCCAAGACTTCCGTTGCCAGCATTCCGAGCAGGTGCGCGGTGAACATCCCAAAAAAATGAAGCACACAAAAATACACAACTGCCAGCAAAAAAAACTCCCACAAAATTACGTCTCTAAGTTGGTGTTGGCCAGGTCTGTAAGTTGGTACCAAGGCTCATAGACAATAAGCCCCAGCAGAATCATGGCCCAGATCAACGACTTCCTCAGCGGCGCCCCAGCATTTTTGGTGACCGACCATCCGCCGACGTCCTGCCAAGCTTCAGGGTATAGATGATGGAGGAGATCAAGGTCCTCAAGGCCATCACAAACCTGGCGCCCAGCCAAGGGTAAATGTCTGGTAGTGGGATGTTTTTCCCAGAAAAAAAAATAACATATCAAAGAAAGGGATTTTATAGGCCACAAGATGCTGATTCAACATGTTTTCACGTTTTTTTCCAAAGATGAAAGAAAAATGGGTACTTAATGGTGTTTATAATATGAATTCCAGGAACCTCCCCACACTTGCATCGTCCATCGCAGTTTACATCAGTTTAGATCGGTGGCTGGCCTGGAATAAGATCCAGCACTGCATGCCGCTATGCCATGTCAGAACTCAACATGTTCAATCATCCTTGGTTTTCTGTTCCTGATGCATACACACAACCCACATATATTTATATATTATATATGTTAAATATGTTATATATATATTATATTATATATATATATAAATATATATTATATACATGCTATATATATATAAACAAATTATATATATATATATTAATTTATATTATATATATACATATGATATATATATTATTATTATTATATATTACTAGTATTATTATTGTTATTATTATTACTATTATTATTACTATTATCATTATTATTATATATATAGTATATCATATTATATATATATTATATATTATATATATTATATATATATTATATATATATATTATATATATATTATATATTATATATATATAATATATATATACATATGTCCGTGCACGTGTGTGTGTGTTACATAATTACATAATAATATATATATATATTTATTTATTGATATAAAAACCAATAAATGGGGTATACATGGGTATACCGTACCACTATATCCCCCATGTTTGATCATCTTCCCCACCTCAGCACTCGCGCCAGCCGTGCCACTTTCACGATGCGTGTGATGCGCACCAGTCGCAGGGCCTCAGTAAACCGCCATGAAACAGCAAAGGAACTGAGTCAGATATTCTAGATATGGCACTCAATTATACGTGCAGCACAGGTTATATAGCAGAAATTCAACATTCTAGGTATAAGTCTATATAGATGTCACTCGCAAAGGGTGCGATTTTTCAAAAAAAAATGCATGAACCTCGCTTGATCAAAACATGGATGGCTGGAACAAACTATTATCATTATTATATATACTGTACATATTTATTATATATATATATATTTATGTATGTATGTATGTATGTATGTGTGTGTGTAACATCTAAATAGATGTAAAACTTCTCTCTTTTTCTTCCTTTGTCCTCTCCCTTTCTAATTCTAATTTTTAATGCAGGGGGACGTGGCATACAATCAGGGACCACGTCCAACGAAGCTACCTGATTGTATGGGATACAGAGCCTGATCAGCTCTGCGTACCTGCCGCTCGAATTTCATTGTTCCGTATCTAATCTGCATGTTTCAGGATTCAGTTCCTGCCGGATCATATAATGATCCATTCTTGTCTAGTGTGATTTCCATGGTGGCTCCGACATGGTGCCATGGAGCCATTTGAGGGAACCCTTTTTAGGGTGAGTGATGACTGTCCTGACTGCCGAATTAACACATTTTAATTTGGTAATTCGTTTACGTAAATTGCAACAGTTGGCTTTTCCGTTTGTCCGCCTTTTCAAGAGTCCCGCTGTTCCCGCGGTCCAAGGGATCCCAGTGCTCCGTTCTTTCAAGTGAAGCCATACCGAACATTCAGAAACCTCCGTTTTCACTGCAGCTTCAGCGTGTGCGATGAGACATGACATGCAAGACAACAGGCAACAGGCATGTCCTTTTCCTGCAGGTGTGGTCTCTTTGGTATTTGGTGAAGTGAAACATATTGTGCATTTAATTCGATGGAACTTGTAAGCCGTTTATGCCCTTGTGGCTGACTGGAACACGGGCCTGTTGTGGCACAATCGCACGAACAGTAGGTATAGGAACTGGGTCCTGTTTTTTAACTAACTGTTTTGTTTTTTGTCTGGCATCAACTAGTTCCCCATTTGGTCCCTAATCTCTCCCCGCGTGCCTCTCCGTAACGTGTTGTGGGGTTTAGGTGTGTGCGCTGTTTTGGTCAGGTCCGTTTCGCCGTGTAGGTTGGTTCCGGAGGTCCGTCTGTTCCCCTCCCCCCCCTGCGCTGTTTTTGGCCGTCTGCCCGTCGTGTGTCCGCTTTTTTCTTCCTCTTGCCTTTCAGGGTTGACCCGGCTCCGGCCGGGTGTGTGTGTGTAACATCTAAATAGATGTAAAACTTCTCTCTTTTTCTTCCTTTGTCCTCTCTCTTTCTAATTCTAATTTTTAATGCAGGGGGACGTGGCATACAATCAGGGACCACGTCCAACGAAGCTACCTGATTGTATGGGATACAGAGCCTGATCAGCTCTGCGTACCTGCCGCTCGAATTTCATTGTTCCGTATCTAATCTGCATGTTTCAGGATTCAGTTCCTGCCGGATCATATAATGATCCATTCTTGTCTAGTGTGTGTGTATGTATGTATGTATGTATGTATGTATGCATGGATGTATGTATGCATGGATGTATGTATGTATGTCTGTCTGTCTGCATGCATGCATGCATGGATGTCTGTATGTATGTATGCATGCATGGATGGATGGATGTATGTCTGTATGGGAGAAGGATTGCATGCATGCATGGATGGATGTCTGTCTGTCTGCATGCATGCATGCAATGGATGTCTGCCTGTCTGTATGCATGCATGCATGCATGGATGGATGCTTGTCTGTATGCATGCATGCATGCATGCATGGATGGATGTCTGTCTGTCTGTCTGCATGCATTGGTGGATGTCTGTCTGTCTGTATGCATGCATGCATGGATGGATGTCTGCCTGTCTGTATGCATGCATGCATGGATGGATGTCTGTCTGTCTGTATGCATGCATGCATGCATTGATGGGTGGATGGATGGATGGATGGATGGGTGGATGTATGCATGCATGCACGCATGGGTGACTGTCTGTCTGTATGCATGCATGCATGCATGGATGGATGTCTGTCTGTATGCATGCATTGATGGATGTCTGTCTGTCTGTATGCCTGTGTGCATGCATGGATGGATGGATGGATGTCTGTCTGTATGCATGCATGCATGCATGGATGGATGTCTGTCTGTGTGTATGCATGCATGGATGGATATCTGTCTGTCTGTCTGCATGCATACATGCATGGATGGATGGATGTCTGTATGCCTGTATGCATGCATGGATGGATGTCTGTCTGCCTGTATGTATGCATGCATGCATGGATGGATGTCTGTCTGTCTGCATGCATGCATGGATGGATGGATGTCTGTCTGTCTGTCTGTCAATCTGTCTGTCTGTCTGTCTGTCTGTCTGTATGTGTATGTATGTATGTATGTATGTATGTATGTATGTATGTATGTATGTATGTATGTATGTGTGATGTATGTATGTATGTATGTACGTACGTACGTACGTATGTATGTATGTATGCATGCATGCATGCATGTATGTATGTATGTATGATGTATGTATGTATGTATGTATGTATGTATGTATGTATGTATGTATGTATGTATGTATGTATGTATGTGTGATGTATGTATGTATGTATGTATGTATGTACGTACGTATGTACGTACGTACGTACGTACGTATGTATGTACGTACGTACGTACGTAGGTATGTATGTATGTATGTTTGTATGTATGTATGTACGTACGTACGTATGTATGTATGTACGTACGTACGTACGTAGGTATGTATGTATGTATGTATGTTTGTATGTATGTATGTATCTATCTATCTATCTATGTATCTATGTATCTATGTATCTATGTATCTATGTATCTATGTATGTATGTCTGTATGTCTGTATGTCTGTATGTCTGTATGTCTGTATGTCTGTATGTCTGTATGTCTGTATGTCTGTATGTATGTATGTATGTGTGTGTATGTGTGTATGTATGCATGTATGTATGTATCTATCTATCTATCTACCTATGTATCTATGTATCTATGTATCTATGTATCTATGTATCTATGTATCTATGTATGTATCTATGTTTGTGTATGTATGTATGTATGTATCTATCTATCTATCTATGTATCTATGTATCTATGTATCTATGTATCTATGTATGTGTGTGTATGTATGTATGTATGTATGTATGTATGTTTGTATCTATGTATGTATGTATGTATGTATGTATGTATGTATGTATGTATGTATGTATCTATGTATCTATGTATCTATGTATGTATGTATTGTGCGTTTTTGTCTCAGGAAAATTCCGGCCAGGTTGGATCAACCTGGAGGGTATCAAACAACTCAAGTAGCTAATCATGCAAGGCCACCCTCACAGCCGAACGCCTTTGTAAAGAAGGCCAAACATAGGTCAGATTCCCCACTGGGTTGTTTCTGACACCACCAAACTCAAGATATCATCAGCAACCAATATTGGCCAGCCTCTACATGTGAACGGAGGGGGGAAAAAAGTCCATGCTACAAGTAGTAGAAGAAAATCAAGAATTCTCATATTTCAGAAAATACCCAGGCTTCTTTTAACCACAAAACACGTTGGGATACCTGCCATTGGGGCCCCAAACTTTGAGCCCAGTGAAGGTCACACCATCACTGCCCTTAAAAAGTTCTTGCAGCACCAGGTCGTTGACAATCTCCCAGATGGACGTGAACCTCAGTGGCTGAAAGGCCCAGAAAACAATATGGGAATCCCAGCCATCTTTCTGTTTGGAAACCGTCTGAGTCGCAGTAGCGTGGGAACCTTCCGCGGGAGAGGATGGATTCAAGAGTTCATCATTGTTAAATCGCGCTTCATGATGCTTCATGGCTCAACTCTAGAGCTAATTCCCTACGTCTGCATATGACAAGGCAAAAACTCTTGACTTAGTTCTGTTCATTTTGGTTCTTTTGCGCTCGTCGTTGTTCTATTCTCTAGTTTGCTCTTTCCCAATTTTTCTCCTCTTTTCTCTTATCCTTTCTTCTTTACATTCCTCTGCTCTTTTGTCTGCCAACCTTTACTCTTAGTTTCTCTGCGGTTCTTTATTCTGGTTTCCCAGTCACTCTTCTCTCATCTTATTTGAACTTCTCTACCCTACTCTTCTCATCGCTTCGTTTCTAGTGTACGGTATCAGTCCGGCGTCGTCAGTCGCAAGAAAAAACATCGAATTTTAAGTTCATGCCTAGAAGCCTACAAGGGACTGGCTGAAGAGTGCAGGACAGCAGAGATTGAAACTACATTTAATGTTAATTGCATGCTGCTGGAATCTATACTCCTTTTAGACGTTACAAACTTGGACATGAGGAGTCAGTTTCCCCTATGTGTTGAAGATCCCTTCCCCAAAATACAAAATACTCCCCATATGGGTTGCCAAATAAATATGTAGTACTAAACATTACTAAACCTGAAATTTCCAGGGCGGTATGAGAAATTGGGAAAATTTGTTCTAAGGTGGGTTGGATGGCGTCTTCAGGATCTCTAAAAAAACGCCCCAGGTTCGCGCCGAGGCAGGTAGCACAATAAAGCAATCCAACCAATTCCACATCCACTCATCCGAGGTGAAGAAGATCTTTCCTCCCGCGCTGATGCCTAAGCGAACACTGGGCACTTGACGTCTGTCAAGGAAAGACCTGGTATACCATCGGCCAGTTATGAAATACATCGCCTGGAAGCCGGCAGCCTAGAAATTCCTAGTTGGATCGAATCATGGTGGCCATATCATCCCATGCGAAAAATGCGGACATTCGATATTACAGCAGACGGATGGGATCGGGATCACATCCTGTGCACACTCCTTGGGGAGACTTGGGTTCCGAAATCAAATTGCTGTTTGGACATATGTAGACTGTGTTTCAGGGGGCCTGCCAAAGGAACTTCAGGCGCTTCCAGCATCTTCCAGTTATCCTGAATTTTTTCAACTATAATGATCCATGATTATCATGTCATTTGTACATCCTGGTTTGTGCACATCGCGAATCTCAGTCTCACATCCCATTTTCAATAACATCTCTGAGAATGTGCGCGCAAAACAAACAACAGCACGGTTCTCAATCCGCGGCCCTCTAAACTTCCCCTGCTTCCCCCCCTGCTTCCATCATGTCACGCAGAATGAGTTCCAATGTAAAAATCACCGCGAAGATATAACGGACGACCTGGAGCAATTTCCACAACAAACCGCAGGGGAAATTTCACCTCACCTGCTTGTAAATCCGAACTTTCAAGAGCCTCATCATGTAATTACACAATTCGGACCACATTGGATCACGGGAAGGCGGAGGTTCCGCGGCCAGTGGTTGTGTTCCAAACAAACCCAAATCCATAACCCGTCAACCAAAAACCCAAATTCCTTCCTACTACATTACTACATCCTAACACGTGGTTTTGTCCGAAAATGATCGAAAATGCGCTACCCTATTTTCAGACAAACCAAACCCATGATCCATGTATGTGTATGATGATATTATGATGATGTAAGTTGAGCACACAATTGTGGTCGTTTTTTGGTTGGTTTGGTCCCAACATGCGATCCAAAATCCAACCGTTTTTCTCTGAGGAAAAACGGGTCCCCAATTTCCATTTGGCACCTCGAGAAATGGCCCGGTGTCGCCTTTGTAGTAGATGGTGTGGCTGACCTGTAACACCAGCTGAGCTTCCCAGGGCCGTCCCATAGGGCACGAATCGCGTGGAGGATATGAACATCCAGGGGCCATAAGAAAAACAAAATCAAGCGTTTTTTTACCTTCGCGCAATGCCTTCCCAGAATTTCCAAGGAAAACACGTCAGCTGCACCATACATATGGGAGGAGGCAACGTGACAATCAAGCAGCGACAAGCCAGCGACAACAAAAACAAGAATCACAATGGTGCAAACGTCGCCCTTTCCGGGGAAAAAATGAGCAAGTAAGGGCGCGAACCCTGCTCACCGGCTCAAGCCATTACAGAAAAATGAAGGAGCAGAAACGCAAAAACAGAAATGCTGTCAACCCCCGGCCTGGCAGCGGGATTCGTGACCATTCGTCTTATCAGGTGATCTAGGAAAATCCGTTCGGAGCGAAAACTATAAACGAGAGAAGACCTGGTGTCCCGGCTTGCCTCTGCCGGCTTCCGCAGCAGCGCGGTAAATTGAAAATGAAAAATATGGCCATGAGTCTTGGAAACCCTAATGGGCACGCGCAAGCAAACATAAGACCAGCACATTGAAAGGAGCAAAAGGAGGGAATGCTGGGCTGGTTTGTGTCACATCAGGAAAGAGTTATATAGATCGTTGGGCCCCACTTGCCAGCATGGAGGCAATTCAGCCCGGACGGGAGCTTCAGGCGAACTAATGAGAAGGACCAGGAAGAGAACGATGGAGAAAATGTAGCTGCGGGGCAGCTCCAATAAGAATTCTTGGCGGCCCAGCAACCGCAGGAAAGAGCATGAAACAAAAAAAGTCAGGCTCATGCAGGTGAAGGCTTGGTCCTGTTTAAGGCTTGGTCCTGTTGAGCTCCAGCATGTGCTTGATTCTACTGATGTGCCGCGATCGCAGGATTGCCAAATCTTCAAGGTTGACTTGAAAGAAATGGCAAAGCCACAATTAGCCTTAGTGCCGCACTTGTCCCGAATGTTGACGTAGCCCTAATGTTGACATGTCCTTCATGTTCATGGCCATGGCAGGAGCACGCATACAGGTTGAGGGGGCCGCTGCTTGCACCCAAAGCCTATAGCCAAGCGTTAAGCAACAAGAATGGTGGGATTCACTGGGAACAACACCGAATCAAAATGGTAGAATATTTAAATAAGTAATACATATGTGTATATACCAGTAGTACCCGCACGAGGCGGGGCGGAGGTTGCCTTAGGGATATACTATACGACCTTTCTCATCTATAGAACTTGCATGCGCCGTGCGCCAGCCAGGCCCGTGCGTGCGTGCTTTGTGCGAAGCGGTTGCACAGATGTTGTCCAAGAACATGACCTGCGCGCAACCCCGGTGCCAGGCAACACCAAGCGAAGACTTTCCGCACACTTCACACTGCACTCTTCGCACTTCACACTCCATACTTCACACTTGCACTTCGCACTCCACACTTCATCTCATCTCAAAGCATGTGAGCTCTTCTCACCTCATCTCAGCTCTTCTCATCTCATCCCATCTCTTCTCACATGTCATCAAAGTAAGTTCAACTGTTTTCATCTCATCCGATCACCGATCAACCTTTCTCATCTCCCCGAGTTGTTCTCAACTCATCTCAGCTGTTCTGCACGCCAGAAAGCTCTTACTGTCAGAGAGAAGTCTCTTGCACACAAAAAACATTGGGCGCAGAAACACAAACACTTGGGACACAAATGTATTCAGACAGAAAAGCCTTTCGGAAATACTTTGTACTACAAAGCTTGCACAAAGTACTTCCCAGTACTACTTTGTAGTACAAAGCTTGCACAAAGCACGTCCCAGTACTACAAGTTGTACTACAAAGCTTGCACAAAGTATATCCCAGTACTTCTGTGTACTACAAAGCTTGCACAAAGCACTTCCCAGCACTACTTTGTACTACAAAGCTTGCACAAAGCACTTCCCAGTACTACTTTGTACTACAAAGTTTGCACAAACGACTTCCCAGTACTACTTTGTACTACAAACCTTGCACAAAGCTTTTCCCAGCACTACTTTGTACTACAAAGCTTGCACAAAGCGCTTCCCAGTATTACTTTGTACTACAAAGCTTGCACAAAGCACGTCCCAAGTACTACTTTGTACTACCAAGCTTGCACAAACTACTCCCCAGTACTACTTTGTACTACAAAGCTTGCACAGAGTCTTTCTCAGTACTACTTTGTACTACAACACTTGCACACAAACTGCTTCCAAGTACTACTGTGTACTACAAAGCTTGCACAAAGTACTTCCCAACTATTCCCAACTACAAAGCTTGCACAAACTACTTCCCAGTACTACTTTGTACTACAAAGCTTGCACAAACTACTTCCCAGTACTACTGTGTACTACAAAGCTTGCACAAACCACTTCCCAGTACAACTTTGTACTACAACGCTTGCACAAAGTACTTCCCAGTACTACTTTGCACTACAAAGCTTGCACAAACTGCTTCCCAGTACTACTGTGCACTACAAAGCTTGCACAAAGTACTTCCGAGTAATACTTTGTACTACAAAGCTTGCACAAAGTACTTCCCAGTACTACTTTGTACTACAAAGCTTGCACAAAGCATTTCCCAGTACTACTTTGTAGTACAAAGCTTGCACAAAGTCCTTACCAGTACTACTTTGTACTACAAAGCTTGCACAGACAAAGCACTTCCCAGTACTACTTTGTACTACGAAGCTTGCACAAACCACTTCCCAGTACAACTTTGTAATACAAAGCTTGCACAAACTACTTCCCAGTACTACTTTGTACTACAAACCTTGCACAAAGCTTTTCCCAGCACTACTTTGTACTACAAAGCTTGCACAAACCACTTCCCAGTACTACTTTGTACTACAAAGCTTGCACAGACTACTTCCCAGTACTACTGTGTATTACAAAGCTTGCACAAAGTACTTCCCAGCACTACTTTGTTCTACAAAGCTTGCACAAAGCACTTCCCAGTACTACTTTGTACTACAAAGCTTGCACAAAATACTTCCCAGTACATCCCAGTACTACTTTGTACTACAAAGCTTGCACAAAGCACTTCCCAGTACTACTTTGTACTACAAAGCTTGCACAAAGTACGTCCAAGTACTACTTTGTGATACAAAGCGTGCACAAACCCAAAGAAAGATTTTACACACAGCAAGTTCTTTCGCAGAGAAGCTTTTACACACAGCAAGCTTTTTAAACAGAGAAGCTTTTACACACAGAAGCTTTTACAGACAACAAGCTTTTACACAGAGAAGCTTTTACACACAGCAAGCTTTCACACACAGCAAGCGTTTACACACAGAACACTTACACACTGTGCTTTTACACATGGCAAGCGTTTACACACACAGCAAGCTTTTTAAACAGAGAAGCTTTTACACACAGAAGCTTTTACACACAACAAGCTTTTACACGGAGAAGCTTTCTTGTACATAATCACATAAGGAATTGCATCTCCAAAAACCGGATCGCGACGCCACAGCGGAAAAAAGGACAATTTTCAAGCACTTTTTAAAAGGACTTTTAAAAGGAAAATTACTAGCGCCAAAATTCAGAAAATCTGCTGACAAATCACTGTCGCAGCCCTGATGCAGCCACGCCAATACTATTTATGAAATCCAGCTGCAAAAGACACTAGTATTATGCATGCAGCCGCGGCACCAAGCAACCTTGATGCAGCCATTACAATGCGTTTCGCCGCATCACGTCGCAAACCTGCACGGATCTACGCACATGGCAACACCAGATGACAACAATCATGCAGCCATTCCAATGCGATCCGCAACCGCAGATTCAAGACATGCATAGAACTACGCACACAGGAGCAACCACTCGTTGCAGAACACAGAGGAGGAACACAATCGCGACAGAAACGACCGCAGCCGCAACCGCCGCACACAGGAGGTACCTTTCATCGCCGACCGCAGCCACTTTACACGGAAAAACACGAGGTTTCATGCTCATTCCTTCCCAACACAAGCCCCATACAACATTCAGGCAGCCATTATATACAATGCGTTTGGCCGCATCACGTCGCAACCCGGCACTGATCTATGCACATGGCAACACCAGATGACAACAATCATGCAGCCATTCCAATGCGATCCGCAACCGCAGATTCAACGACCGCAGCCGCAACCGCCGCACACAGGACGTACCTTTCATCGCCGACTGCGGCCACTTTACACTGAAAAACACAAGGTTTCATGCTCCTGCTTCCTCTCCAACACAAGCCCCATACAACATTCAGGCAGCCATTATATACAATGCGTTTCGCCGCATCACGTCGCAAACCTGCACGGATCTGCGCATGTGGCAACACCAGATGACAACAATCATGCAGCCATTCCAATGCGATCCGCAACCGCAGATTCAAAGCCACGCATAGAACTACGCACACGGGAACAACCACTCGTTGCAGAACACAGAAGAGGAACACATTCGCGACAGAAGCGACCGCAGCCGCAACCGCCGCACATGTGGAGGTACCTTTCATCGCCGACCGCAGCCACTTCACACGGAAAAACACAAGGTTTCGTGCTCCGGCTTCCTCCCCAACACAAGCCACATGCAACATTCATGCAGCCATCACAATGCATTTTGCAGCATGACGTGGCTAACCTGCATGTATCTTCGCAGATCGCAACCCCAGATTACAACAATCATGCAGCCATTACACGGGCGTATTGTTCTGTGATGTCAAGTCTCACACCACAGTCTCACACCACCCTTCATTGAGTGTATTGGTATGTGATGGCAAGTCTCACACCACAGTCTCACGCCACCCTTCATTGAGTGTATTCTTATGTGATGTCAAGTCTCACACCAGTCTCACACCACCCTTCATTGAATGTATTGTTATGTGATGTCAAGTCTCACACCACAGTCTCACACCACCCTTCATTGAGTGTATTCTTATGTGATGTCAAGTCTCACACCACAGTCTCACACCACCCGTCATTGAGTGTATTGTTATGTGATGTAGAGTCTAACACCAGAGTCTCTCAACACCCTTCATTGAATGTATTCTTATGTGATGTCAAGTCTCACACCACCCTTCATTGAGTGTATTGTTACAGGTAAAAGTCATCCGTAACTCGGAAGATTGCTTCCCAACTTCCTTTGATTATCTACAGTATTATATATGTGTGTGTGTGCGTTAACTGATACGATATTGTACTTTAATTGGTTACTATGGGAGATCACCATGTTTAAGAAGTAAATTATGGAACTATGTAAATAGGCCATCTATGCTAGAGCTAAGAGGCAAATTACTGGAGGGTATGGGGTGTAACATCTTTGAAATCCCATTCTTATATCATGAATCATGAATATTCCATTCATATCCCCTTCAATCCTACTAATTCCCATCAATATCCCGATGTTTGTTGGTTAAAATCCCATCAATCACCGCTAAACGAAACAAAAAACCTTTAACCAGCAATGAATCTCATTGAAATCCCATTAAAATCCCATTAAAATACTAATCCTCATGGCTGGATCCCACAAATTGACAGGCCTCGACACCCACAAAGATGGAGTTGCATATCACCACGCCGGCCTCAAAACGAGTCCAAGGTGTGTACAAGGGGTGGCTGGAACCCTCGTGTTATGTTCGAAAATGAGCAAAAAAAAACTATATAAAGAAACCCATCATAAAAATATCAGAAATGAGGTTTGATGTTCGAAGATTAATTCGTCTGGCAACGATAACCACACTTGCTGTAGCTAGAAGAAACTACATCAATTTGGCAACTACACTACACCCGGGTTCGAGTACTGGGATGATACCCACGGTGAAAGGGACCCTGTGGGCTCCTTTCACTCGACACATTCACGACTTTCCAGCCACACGTCGGATCAGCCGAGAAAGTCGTCTGACAAATCATGATAAATCGGCAAAAATGATAAGACATCCTTTCTCCTGGTCCTTCCCACAATCATCTCACGTGCCCACAACATCCCACGATATCACCAGTGGCGACCGAGGTGCAAAAAAGATGTCAAACCATGGGTGAGTCGTCAACTTCACCAAGCATCCTGTCCCCATGTTGCATTTGCCGTGGCAGGACTTGTTCGTTGTTTTGGAGGCCATAGAAAAGCTATGAAAACCTGCTTGCCTCATATTCCTTGAGGTATCCGTGCCCCGATCAATCCCACATCATCTTGTGTAACAACTAGCCTTACATCCTGTCAACCAGGTGGTTTGTGATTTTGTCAACGAAAAATGTCCACGGGCCCAGTTTGTCCAACCCCCCGGTGCCCTTATTGAGCTCGACAAGGCACCCTTCTCCGCATTCGTTGAGACAAAGCTCTGTTGACGCTTCTTCCTGTGATAGAGGTGTGAACTGGACAGAATCCCCAATCTGAATCCTTAAAATTGGGTAGCTAATCCTCCTAAATATATAGGTTTATGGATATGTGAATTGTTAGCTAATCCTCCTCAAAATTGGTTCATGATTCCTTTCTTGTGAGTTTTGCGTAAACAAATGTTCGAATGTCAACCCTAAACAAAAATGCCCTAAGTAATAACCCATATCGGACTTCGCTGCGCTTTGTTGAAAAACCATATTGCCCCAGGCTCTAACCATGTTGTTGCTAATGTCCCAAGGCCATTAAGTTTACCCCCCAGAAACCCATGGGTTTTGTAGGAGGCTTATATATAGATAGATAGATAGACATGTGACCATTTACGAGGTGTGAAAAATATTGGGATGAGATACAGTATCTCTACAACTATATCATATATCCCACGCAATCATACTGAAATCACATCAACCATAATAGTTTACCATGGTAATTTTAATGTGAATCCATCACTGGGATGATTAATCACATTCTCCTGGTGGTTGATGAAATATGTTTCATTGCAACATATCCAGCTGAACTATTGTAAAGCACCAGCCTGAGAATCGGTTGGGGAGGCTTTTCCCAATCCTAACCGTCACTACCACATTACAACCGTGGTTGATATCGAGAATCATGTCTCCATATTAATCCTCAACCATAGTTCGTGTCCATGAAGTATGTCTGTGTGCGAAAAAGTCTCCCGTTGGCAACACACAAAAAGATAAGAAAAATCCCACTAAAACGGTAGCCAAGGTCACTTGTCCACATCTTTTTAAGGCTTACTACATTCCATTCTGTTCCATTACAAATCGAAATAATTTCCAACAACCCACAATCAACCAATACGTCTAAACTAAACATGCCACATCTTGACCATAATGGTTTGGGGTGATTAGATACGTTGCTTTCTATACCATGTTATCTTATATCATGTTATTTTACTTCATTTTATTTTTCATCGATTTTAAATACATCACATTATTATATAGTAAATGTTATTATGTATTATGTAATAAATATGCATAGAATTGCATAGATATATTCATAGTATGATGGCTATGAGTAGTCGTACAAGTGCTAATAGTATTAGTAAGTAGCAGCGGTAATAGTAATGGTGGTGGTGGTGGTGGTAGTAGTAGTAGTAGCAGCGGTAGCAGTAGCAGTAGGACTAGTAACTAGTAGTAGCACTAGTATTGTCAATAATATCTTTATTTATTAGTGTCACTGCTGTTCTGACTTATATATATACCAGTATATATCAATAAGCAACCACATTAGCCATCATCATATAATAATTACAGTAACGTTAACCTTCACATTGACCAACCACGCCGCGGTCACGGTTTTTCCGCTTCGCGTCCTGGCAGCCTCCTTTTCATCCACCGTCGCGGCGCCATCCTTCAGGTCCGCGTCAATGGATTCAAAGGTGCCTTCGAAAAAGCTCCGCACTTCACAACGGGTGGGGTGCTCCTCCAACTGCTGGTCCAGAAATGTGGTAAAAACATACGGGATATCACTATATCATATAGTTATATATATATATATATATTGTTAATATATATATAATATATATATATATATTATATATTATATATAGTTAATAATGGCCATTGTATGCGCGAAAATGATAATCAACACTCGGAAATTTTGGGGGTACCGTAGTGTTAGACAAACCCAAGCATAAAACCAATTGAAATCCCCATACCTTCGTCCCACATCCCCATGTTTGAACTGCCAAACCGCTCCAACCACTGGATAGTTGGCCAAGGGACGAAAGAGTCTCTCCACTACCGCCGCGTCAGGCACAGCACGTTTGGTAGGCGAAGGAACCGGCATCTTGGCGACGAGACCGGGTGGAGGCCTTTTTTCTGAGTGGAGGTTGTGGCTGGTTATTAACCAGAATAAAATATACATGTATGGTTGCATCATGAAACAACCATATTAAAAGGCTCACCATTGTTGTTAGCGGGCATTGTTGTCATTACAGTACCTAATCCTGACTGGATGCTCAGAATTAATTTTGATATCACAAATATCATGTTATATCATTATAAAGCATTGACCATTCTGATTTATTACTGATTCTTGGTTGGTCAACATATGTTATGAACCAATCATGAATCACTTAGTATCATGATTCTAATGAGCTTATTCATATATCATATAACCATTCCACCATATAAATATAGCCAACATAAATCAATATAAAGATATTGGTAATATGTTTGTTCCCAGTTGGTGAATAGAATAAATTACATCATGAACCACTAAAAAAAGACTTTGATTGGCAAAAAAATCCCTCAGGTGGTGTTGGCATCCATGGTTTGAGGGCCATGTCTTGATATGATGGTCTTCCCAACCACTCATGGTGGGGTCCTTCGAATGTTCATAAACTTAGCCTGGCAATGTTCGACTGTAACTTGTAAACGGCGATTGTTCCCAAAACTATGGCTCGAAATGGCTTAAAAAATGCTCTACAGAAAGTCGTGGTTTAACTGCATTGTTGACCCCTGGCAACCCACCATGAAATCCTATCATCTGGAGTTGTACAGCTTTCTACTCATATAGCCGTCTACAGTCGGTGCCTGTGCATTTTCAAGGCCAAGTTCCGATGGCAATCTGTGAAAGGAATGTTTGCAAGGTTCCGACTTAAGATAGGTCGATGGGACTGGCCATCCCACCGTGTTCACAATTCAATGGATGTCACTATCCCAGAGGAAAGTCCAAAACATTGGCCACGAGCTGCCTGTCACTTGCGGCGGCCAGGATTTTTTTCTGCGGGCATTGGCGCACATGAAAAACATTGGTGGAAAATGCGTTGAGGAAGCAATGTGGCAACCAGATTCGATTGCTGTGTCCCATTTTGATGTCATGTAGGCATGGGCTGAAACCCCAATACCGCTTGCCATCCTGAAATATCCTGAATCTACTTCTCAGTTTGATCTCTTACAGCAAATGGCAACTGCAAGGAAACCAACGCACTGTCCAAACATCTCTGGCAAGAGGTTCGTCAGCCATGGCTACATGAACACAGAAAATCATATGGACAGAGCCGGGTCAAAACCTTCAATAACTTGTTTTCGGAAACCGTCTCCACCTACTCTGGCAAATTTTGACAGGGATGACGAGAGTTGTTTGACCCAGCGAGTCTACTTGGGAGTTCCAGAGCCATCTCAGGGCCACTGACTCCCATGCAAACCACTTTACACATCCATATATATATATATATATATATTTAATTATTTATTTATTCATGTATATATATATATGTGTGTGTATATCCATGTGTGTATATATAAATACAAATATGTATAAATGCAAATGTATATATATATATATATATATGTATGTATGTATGTGTATGTATGTGTATGTATGTGTATGTATGTGTATGTATGTGTATCTATGTGTATCTATGTGTATCTATGTGTATCTATGTGTATCTATGTGTATCTATGTGTATCTATGTGTGTCTATGTGTATTTATGTGTATCTATGTGTATGTATGTGTATCTATGTGTATGTAAGTGTATGTAAGTGTATGTATGTGTATGTGTATGTGTATGTGTATGTGTATGTGTATGTGTGTGTATGTGTATGTATATGCATATGCATATCCATATGCATATGTATATGTATATGTATATGTATGTATGTATGTATGTATGTGTGTGTGTATGTATGTATGTATGTATGCATGCATGCATGTATGTATGTATGTTGTATGTATGTATGTATGTATGTGTATGTATGTGTATGTATGTGTATGTATGTGTATGTATGTGCATGTATGTATGTTGTATGTATGTGTATGTACCTATGTATCTATCTATGTTTGTATCTATGTATGTATGTATATATGTTGTATGTATGTATCTATGTATCTATGTATCTCTGTATTTATGTATCTATGTATGTATGTATGAATGTATATATATATGTATGTATGTGTATGTATGTGTATGTACGTGTATGTATGTGTATGTATGTGTATGTATGTGTATGTATGTGTATGTATGTGTATGTATGTGTATGTATGTATGTATGTATGTATGTATGTATTTGTATGTGTGTATGTATGTATGTATGTGTATTATGTGTATGTATGTGTATGTATGTGTATGTGTGTGTATGTGTATGTATGTATGTATGTATGTATGTATGTACGTGTGTGTATGTATGTACGTGTATGTAGTGTATGTGTACGTGTATGTACGTGTATGTACGTGTATGTACGTGTATGTACGTGTATGTACGTGTATGTACGTGTATGTACGTGTATGTACGTGTATGTACGTGTATGTACGTGTATGTACGTGTATGTACGTGTATGTACGTGTATGTACGTGTATGTATGTGTATGTATGTGTATGTATGTGTATGTATGTGTATGTATGTGTATGTATATGTATGTGTATGTATGTGTATGTATGTGTATGTATGTGTATGTATGTGTATGTATGTGTATGTATGTGTATGTATGTGTATGTATGTGTATGTATGTGTATCTATGTGTATCTATGTGTATCTATGTGTATCTATGTGTATCTATGTGTATCTATCTATGTGTATCTATGTGTATCTATGTGTGTCTATGTGTATTTATGTGTATCTATGTGTATGTATGTGTATCTATGTGTATGTAAGTGTATGTAAGTGTATGTATGTGTATGTGTATGTGTATGTGTATGTATGTGTATGTATGTGCATGTATGTATATGTATGTATATGTATGTATCTATGTGTCTATGTATCTATGTATGTATGAATGTATGTTTGTATGTATGTATGTCGGTATGAATGTATGTATCTATATATGTATGTATGTATGTCTGTCTGTTTCTATCTTTCTATCTATGTATCTATGTATCTATCTATCTATCTATCTATCTAGAATCTATCTATCTATCTATCTATCCATCCATCCCTTCATCCATCCATCTATCTATCTATCTATGTGTGTATCTGTGTGTGTGTATCTATGTGTGTATCTATGTGTGTATATATGTATCTATGTATCTATGTATATATGCATCCATGTATCTATGTATCTACGTATGTATGTATCTATGTATGCATTTATCTATGCATGCATGCATGTATGCTTGTATGCATGGATGTATGTTTGCGTGCATGTACGCGTGTATGTATGTATGTACGTACGTATGTACGTACGTACGTACGTACGGTACGTACGTACGCACATAAACAAATTAGGTGCTATATGTTCATAATTGCATAGCTATTTCTATCCTGGCTTCCAAGACCTCCTGGCGTCCCTCTACGACGTGGCCGTCTGCAACTGTGGCGGCTGCGAGGCATCGATGGTGTCACGCAGGCGTTGCAGCAACTCGTCGTCGGGGGTCTCTTGGACCTCCTGACGTCGCGAAACGGAGCGAAGTTGGGAAAGCTGGTTGGAATGCTGATTTCACCAGCCATGGGTAGATGGGTATATTAGGAATTATGCATAAGATTGCGTATACGCATATATATATATATAACCTTATGTAACTATGTTTATATGGGATAGAATGGAATGTAGCCAACAAGATATAGGGCTATTTGGAGAATCCTGGAGAAATAAAATTGGATTTGAATTTGGGCCTGAAAATGTGGGGTACGGTATCCTATTGATGGTTTTAGGGAAAAAGATGATCCAGCATCAAGTTTAGGGGTACCCCATTTTCATACAAACACATCTTAAGAAATTAATGTGGGTTGAATTTGAACACATTTAAACCGAAAGAAATAGGATTCAGTACTTGAAATGCAGGGCTTGAGACAAAAGACCTGGAGTTTAGCCAGAAAACCGTGGATTCAACCAAGAAAAATAAGATATAAAAAAATATGGCAGTGGACCATTTAAAATGGAGGATTTAACCATCAAATTCAGGGATACAACTAGCCAAAATGGGACAATGTGCACCTAAAAGTGAAGTACCAACGGCCCCTCAAACAGCTCGTCACGCATCAATCTTAAGCGACTGTCATTTGCCAAATTAGGTGAACGCACTTTGCAACATGGAAAAGGATCCTCGCTAATCATTGTCCATGCTATGAACATTTACTGGAAGGTACGGAAGGCATTATAATCTATACACACTATCTATACATACATCATACATCTATGAACAGCTGGCTAACATTATCATCTATGAACACCGTCTAATGTACACACTGACTACATGACTACATCTATGAACAGCTGGCTAACATTATCATCAATAGATATCTATAGATAGTATTGTATCTATACATCGATGATCATCAATGGCCGTTAACATCCACGCCATCCTTGGCCGAGATCATGGGGTGCACCACCAGCTTCACTCCGCAGTTGTTTTGGTACAGCCTGGGATTTGGTGGAGATGGATTCACCAAAAGCTGGAAATATGTGTTTCAATGTCAAGAACCTTCAAGAACTAACTATCAGCTATTTGACAAGATTTGTCAATCATCCAAAGTACGATGAGTACAGATTTATGTAGATTTCACCAAAAAAGGGGATGATGGTTTTCTCCAGACATGGATATGGAACTGGAGATTGCAAATTGGAGAGGGTACTGTGTAGCTACATTGGCTACATTGAAAGGTGCCCTTCCCCCTGGCCCCATCCCACAGTGATGCTTCATCACCATTTAATGACACTTCCAGCATCCCCTTTCAGCTTCCATCGGTCCTTTCACCTCACCCCTCCCTCCACTGTATCCCCATCCAAAAAGTCCTCATCCAAAAATGGTTGGTTCTTCCCAACGTCCCCAAAATCCCCCAACACCCCCAGCTCCAAGTGGCAGGTACTCCTTCTTCGCCGGCATCAGGCGCCCAGTGCCCAGGATCGTCAGCGGCACGATGGGCACCTTCGCACGCTTCGCTATGGACACCGGGCCGCGCTTGAACTTCCTTGGGGCCAGGGGCGCGCCCAGGGTCGTGGAGATAGCTCGATTTGATACAACGACCCCCAAAAAGGGCGGGAACAGTGGTACATCCATGTCTCAAAAATGCTGCTAGGGTCCACGTGTCCATCTGTTTTGGGGGTGGCAAATCACCATCTTCACCATTCTTCACCTCACTTGTAGCCAAGGTGCAACAATTTGCCGTCGCTGCTGCGAGTTCCCTCGGGGAAAACGAAGATGGAAGTGCCTTTTTTCAGTGCTTCCTGGGCCAAAAGACGGATTGTCGGCTTGCATTTGCCTTATTACCATATCCATCACGTGCTGAACAACGATACTTAGAAGGGATGTGAGATGATTTGATTGTTGTTGACCCATCCCCAAACATCCCAAAAATGATCAAAACATATCAAAATCCTTCAAATACATTCAAAGCCATTCAAATCCCCAAACATGTCACCAACCATCACCAACCATAGGCGCTCCCATCCTCCACATTGATTACCCAGGTACCACGCACTCGCGAAAGGTATTCAGCTGGGATCGTCGATCCTCCCGTTCGATGGTGATGGTCTTCGCCCGCCTCATGGCCCAGCCAACCAACCTGGGGGCGGCCGGAGTGGCCGGTGTGTCCCAAGGCGAGAAGTGATCTGGGACAGGGGTGGATAAAATCACCGCACAGTTTACAGATGCTTCCAACCGTAATTATGTATAATTATGTGTATATATTTAAATACAATTATATATATACGTATATATACATATATATAACTATATATATATAACATTACAACTACAAAATAAAACTATATATAAATAACTATATATAAAATATAACTATACATATATGTATATAACTCTATATATATATATGTTAACTTTATATATATATATAACTAGGAGCACGGCCTTTAGATGACCGTGTTTTTTTTTGGTTAATGGGATGTTGTTGATCATGTTTGATGTGCCCGTGCCAATAAGAATTTGTGCGAGCTTATTTTTAAGGCAGCCAAGCCTTTATTCACAAGCAGTAGAACTAAAAAAGTCATTTCGCCTACACAAAATTACAATTTTTGGGTTTTCTGGCCAACCTGAAACTAAATATTGTCACATGTTTTTAGCCGTTTTTTGGCCAGAGCAGCGCCGCCAGTTCTTCCAAGAACTTTTTAGGATCTGGACTCTGTAAGCTTGAAGGCCTGCACCGACATGAGCACATATTGTGTCACGGAGGGGTGCGTAGCATGACCCATGAGTGCAAAGTTCAAGAGAACATACAGTACCGTATAGCATGACCCACGAGTGCAAAGTTCAAAAGAAAAACATACAGTACCGTAGCATGACCCAAGAGTGCAAAGTTCAAGAGAACATACAGTACCGTAGCATGACGCATGATTGGCATGATTGCAAAGTTCAAGAGAACATACAGTAGCGTAGCATGACGCAACAGTAGCGTAGCATGACGCATGAGTGCAAAGTTCAAGAGAACATACCATAGCGTAGCATGACGCATGCAAAGTTCAAGAGAACATAAAATAGCGTAGCATGACGCATGAATGCAAAGTGCAAGAGAACATACGATAGCGTAGCATGACGCATGAGTGCAAAGTTCAAGAAAACAAACAAATCAAACAATAGCGTAGCATGACGCATGATTGCAAAGCTCAAGAGAATATACAGTAGCGTAGCATGACGCATCAGTGCAAAGTTCAAGAGAACATACAGTACCGTAGCATGGCCCATGGGCGCAAAGCTCAAGAGAACATACAGTACCGTAGCATGACCCATGAGCGCAAAGTTCAAGAGAACATACAGTACTGTAGCATGACCCATGAGTGCAAAGCTCAAGAGAACATACAGTAGCGTAGCATGACCTACAGTATGAAAGAGAGAGACATGGACGTTATTATCCCACCCCACCCCACCCCACCCATGAATACATGCACCTGCCGGCAGCCACCAGCGTAGCATGTCCTTCATCTGCAAGTTCACATGAACGTCAATACAGCCCCACCCCACCCCACCCCACCACATAATGCATGCATGCATGCGCCACAGCCATAGCATAGCATACATGTCACTTCATGCTGTTCACATGAACGTTCATAAATGCCCCACCCCACCCCACCCCACCCATGAATACCTGCACCTGCCGGCAGCCAAAGCGTAGCATATACTTCATCTGCAAGTTCACATGAACGTCAATACATGCCCCACCCCACCCCCCCCAACGTCAACAAAACACCACGGCCGTCTAAAGGCCGTGAAGGCGTGGTCCAACTATGTATATATATATATATATATATATATATATGTATGCGTGTGTGTTTGACAATATATGTAATATATATAAATACCTTTGTATATCTTTGTGTGTATAATCAACTTGGTTTCATGACAAAAACCTGTAGTTCAATCCCTCGGGAATGAGGAATGACTTTTCTTGAGGGAGCAATGACCTGGCTTTCCATAGCTTTTGGTACACTATAGTTGGGTCTGTTTAAACAGGGGTAGTGCAGAAACGCACGCGCAAATGCGAGCAAATCGTGACCTTTCAACAAGTGGCATTCAATGGATTCAGCATGTGGCATTCAATGGATTAGTATGGATTGATTTAAGGGGAAATCTGCTGGAAACTACGGTGCTCATCCCCAAATATGTGAAGGTCTCAACTTCAACTGTAAATGTTCCCTTCACCCAATTCTAGGATGACTCCACCAATAGTAAGGGTCTACTAGGGGCTTATTAAGGGCTTATATGAATTACCAAGTAGTGAGGGCTTATTAACTCCTTAGCCTGCTGATGCCTGCTGGCAAGCGGCGGAATCTTCAGGATGGAGGCTTTGGAGACAAACTTAAAGGGTTTGAACAACCTGAGCCGTGCGAAACCACCATGGCCTGGGTCTGGAACCGGAACCACTGTAAGGTGGTCCTGGTGGCGTTGCTGATAAGAACCCTGGCGGAAAGACTTCTACTATCTACTGTATGTGTTTGTGATATATGATATACGTATACCTATATATATATATATGTGGTTCACCATATATATATATATTATAGATCCACACAAAATATGTGTCCGCACATGTGAAGTTTATGAAAGTTTACACAAATCATCATTACCAGGGTAGTTTTGAGTGAAACATGGTCAAACAGAACTAGTTCACGGCAGAATGTTGGAGACACGGGCCAATCTGAAGCCAGGGCACGCTGCTGTTCATGCCCCAAAAAATATGTGCAATAGATGGCACATAGTGCCCCATACATTGCCATACATATCACATCATATCACGTCATTCGATGAGCCACAAAAAAAGGGGAGATACATTTCAAGGAAGAGATCGTTGCTTGGACTATCGAAAATCCCACCGTATCACGACTATCCCAGGAGCTGGTAGACCGAGAGAATGTCCATGAAGGACTGATGGTTGGCGACGTAAACGCAGGCTTCGTCCTTCGGAAGGTTATCATGGCCCTTGATCTTCACCTGCGGAGCAGCTTCTTAGAATGGAGAGATTTCAGGGAAAAAATGCATTGGTTTTTCCCCAGGACTCCAATAGAACCAGCCCATTCTAGGAAGTGAGGGTCGTTGACCCCCTCAACCTGTGGTGTGTGTGTGTGGTGATGCTTGAAGCTCGGGGATCCGAACACACTCCACTTGGACGTGAGCAAACCAAAAAAAGACACACCCTATACAAATCCCTACAATACATTATAGATTCAGATTCCCCATTGGAGGAGGAAAAAAAACAGAAAAAAACTGCCCAAGCAAACCAAAGCCCATCAGATGATATCTACTGTAAACGTACTCACCTATCCACCTTGAACCAGGAAAGCTGCCCCACTTTCTCAGGACTCAGCCCCCAATTCCTGCCCAGAAAAGCCATGGGCACCCGGAAGAAGGGGGAGATGGTCATCTTTGCCCATGCGCAAATCACCAAATCCACCTGATGGGATCAAAATGATCAAAGGTGTGGGCCTCCGGGTGTTCCGAATCACGGCAGCAACCCCAAGCCCATCCCTTTTTCGCATTGATTCCTATCCATGAGGGTTGATTTCTACACGTTTTCCCTGAAAACAAAACCATCTAGATATATCTAGATATATTTGTCCAAAACGGATAGGATGATTCCCCATCTGCAACAACATCACTGACGCTGATACCATTTGACTTTAGACTTTAGCCACATCACTCCGACCAAGACACCCACTTCCTCCCAGGATCCTTCTTCACTAGCATCCCCACAGACACCACTGGGAAAACCACGAACAGGCCCAACCTTGATGGAAAGAATATAGAAATCCATGTGGCTTAACCTGGAACCTTCTTCAGAAAATGATGTACGAAGGGATTTTCTACGTCTATGCTCCTTTACCAGAGCGGGTAACACTTGGGTAAAGTAACAGTACGGCCTGAAGTCTCTGTTTGCCCGGAATGCAATTCATCACGTCTTGACGAAGAGCAAAAACCGTGGTACAGTAATTCCCGTACAAAATGACTGTATCAACACCTAAAGCAAGCTAATCGGGTGCACAGGAGATCACATGCGCAAATAAAAAATGCCTCAACCTGCGTGGAAATAGCATCCACAACCCCATCAAAATCACAATTTAAGACCCACATCAAGAATCATAACTTAAACCATATCAAAAACATAAGTGAAACCGTATCAAAATCACAACTGCAAAACCAGGCCAGAAACAATGGTAACAGCAAATCATATCTTTGGATATATATATATATATTAATCATATCAAAATCATTTAAAAAGTGAAAAACCATGAAAAACCTCCATCCTAGAGACTTCGAATGTTATGAGTTTTGTGTGTGATCAAAAATGGCTTTGCGATTTACGAGCGCTGTAACGGTCTTCGAAAACTCGTTTTCCAAATTCCCTTTTTCACCCTTTTAATGAGTGTAGTGTAGTAGTTCCACGGGGGTGGGGGGATTTGATCCCACATTGAAGATCTTCAATGAGTGCAATAGTTCCACGGGGGTAGGGATTTGATCCCTTGTTGAAGATCTTCAATGAGTGCAATAGTTTAACGGGGATGGGGGATTTATTCCCGGATTTGATTCACGGGTCACGGGCCCAAAGCTAAAAGATGTTAAAAGTTTCCTCTAAATTCCCCAAATGGTGGATTTCCGGGACGCAAAAATCACCATCAATCACCATCTCAGCCCCAAGGCACATCTGGTAATGTTCCGGAAATATCAAGATGTCACAGCCCAAGGCACGTCACGAGGATCAGAGCCAGGCCCACCACCCTTAGCACGGCCAGCGGAGTATGTCCCACCCTCCGCTGCGCCGGCGCCACATAGCGCTCCAAGGGCACACTCCGCCGGCGCCACGTCGCAAGACGCGCAGCAGGCGCAGCGGAAAGGCCGTCCACGCGAGCCGTCCTGGGAAGGAACGACAAGATGGGGCAAGGAGCTGCATGACTGGAATTTATCTTGGGAGTTGACAAACAAATCGCAAATAGATTGGGATTGATTGGGATGTAATTTAAACAACTGCATATTGGAGATAATTAATGTTCGGCCCCGTGACCACTTTGAAGCCATGCATGGAAGATGGCAAAAATGATCATGGTTTTCCCACATTTATCCCGCATGTTGCATGAACTATAAGCAATGATCCCATCATGTTTGCCATGATTTTCCCATGCATTTCCTGGATTCCTAGATCTTTGCTGATGATTTTGTTCCTTCCTTTTCGGGGCACGTGGTAAAGATCCCCACAGCCCGGGCGCGCATCCTAGGCGTCCGTGACTGCTGCGGCCATCGCTGCACCCAGCTTCGACTGCGACACGCCAGCAGCAACAGAAGAGCGACGACGGCCAGACGTCGCACCATCGCGGCCGTAGCAATATACAGTGATATACGGCGCAAAAATTTGGTAAATATGATAGAAGTGACATAGATAAGATTTTTAAATGGTATGTAAGTGATATATAATGATATATACATAATGATACCATTTGATTCTGGCGTTTATGTGTTTTCAAATGGTTAATATAAAACGTTGGATTTAAGAGGATCAACGGTGACTTCTCATGTCGCTGCGAGGTGGCACCTTGCCTCATTTAGGCGCAGCCTGATTAGCTGATGGACAGCTGCAGAGAAATCCCGGGGGAATCATGAAAGCTGCCTGGGTATCACCAGTATCACCGTCAAAGGTCCAAGAAAATATGACCAAAACATACCAAAACATACCAAAACACTATCCACGAGCCCTTTTGTCCAATGATTCTCCATGGTTCTCCTGTTTCAGCAGTTTCGAAAAACCCCGAGGCCATCCAAGGAACCAGTTCTCCAACGGTCTGCCCACTTGACACACTTTCAGCGAAGATGCTTCTCCTGGCACGGAGGGCCCGGAGGGACTTGATCAGGGCCCCTGGGAGAACCCTACAGTAAACATATCGAATTGAAATGAACTGACATTTGGAGAAATAAGCAAATCAACACACGATACCCACATATATTTTTTTACATATGTAGCAGTAGTAGTCGCACGAGGCGGGGCGAAAGTTGCCTTAGGGTTACACTATAAGACCTTTTTCATCTATGGAACTTGCATGCGCCGTGCGCCAGGCCCGCCCGTGCGTGCTTGCTCTGTGCAAAAGTCGTGCAAAAGTGGTGCGCTGTTCCAAAGGCCACACTTGAATCTCCAGACTTCACACTGCACTCTTCACACTCCACACTTCCCACTTCACACTCCACCATTTATCTCATCTCATCTGGGCTCTTCTCAGCTCTGGTGGAAGTGACACTTTGTGTTGCAAAGATCAGACTCCACACTGCACCTCCACATTTCTTTTCACTTAGTGTTATCTGCAATCTCATCACGTCATCTCATCTCACCCTATATATCTTTTTTCACATGCTGGCCCCCTTATAGATGATTTACCTCTTTAAAACTGCGATTTTTCCCAAGTCTTCAAAATTACCAGAGGGGGTTTCCCCACTTCCCGCGTTGGGGACCCCCCCGGTACCGGTGCTGCACCTCCTCCCTTCCACCTTCCCCTCTTTCATTTCGCGTAAGACTTGATCCTGCCACTCCAAGCGCTGCATCACCTGGGAAGGTTATGGCTGGTTGTCAATCAATAACAACCAGCCATAGTTGCCTTAAAAAGGTGCCAAGTGTTTAAAAAGTAAGGCATCTATGAATCAACTTGATAAAGGGGCAGTTTTCCATGCCTCTATATGAAATTCCCAGGAGGGTAGTAGTACAAAAATCCCAAAACAAGGGACTAGAAGGGATTGATCTGGATTAATGCCAAACAAAAAGCACACGCACACAGCTTGTTAATCGGATAACATGATACAACATGCAATTCTGGGTGGATCCAAGTGATGTCAGTATCTAACCTGGCCGGAAAACACTACTTCATCGAAGATTGTCGATCTGCTTCCAATGTCGATTAGAGCATGGAAGGAAGGCAATATATGTTTATGTGTGTATATATATATATATGCGATTATTTATTTATTCATTATTTTTTTATTTATTTCCCCTCTGGTAATCAAACGTACCTGGCTGGAAAATCCCTTTTTTCATATTCAATCTCCATCTTGATAAATTTATCTTGAAATCGCCTGAGTTCGGAGGAGCATCAATCGGATGTTTCGCTCGAAGCCTGACCAGCCCTTGGCATCACCCAGTTCCGAAGGGCACCTCGCTATGCTGATGTTTCAGCACCAATAAAATCTCCTCTGAAACCTCCTGCGAAGCCACACGAACTCCTGAAGCCAGGTTTCGAATGGTTTCGATCTTAGTTATGTGGCCAACTTTGAAACTCTCCCGGAATCAAACGTGGCTGGCTTAATGAGAAAATCATGGAACCAAACCATTGTCATGTTTGATGACCGCAGGGTATCCCCAGTTGTGTATGGGTTTTTTTTGTGGGCAAACCATGGCAAACCACCTACATTTCCCCATGATATTGGATATCTTGGGCTGTCCAACTGAAGACAATCACCATTTTTCCAACTGAAATACCGGAATGCCCATTGTTGATGCGGTGCATTCATTCAAAACCCCTAAAATCATCCAAAATCATCCAAAATCTATCTAAATCATCCAACATCCATCGAAAATCCCTCTAAATTTGGACATTCATGGCATAGCAACACATCACCCCTCGGTCCCTTCAGCGCTGATTGCATCGTCTCGGCCGTGTCGTTCTGCCAGAGGTGTCCTGGCGGTGAAAACCTCGGGTGTTTTTCTTAACGGTGGTGACGTTGATGGTAGGATATGCTAAGTAATGTTAATATGTTAACTAAGAGTTAACCTGGGTAGGCATTAACGTTGGCAGCGCAAATTTCAAATCATTCCCAATGGCTTGCCGTTTTAATGGGTGGGATTTCAACCATCTTTCCATATGCCAACATTATATCTAGAATCAATGTGAATTATGGGATGGCCATTAAATCTAGTACATCCTAGAATTAATATTCTCAACTTGGTTCCCCTGGGGTGGGCATATCTCAATGGTAGGGAACCCATGGAAATGGAATCAAAATCACTATATTTTGTAACATCTAGCACATTTTTGAATGATATATAATAACAATTAATAACACATTATACCACCTAAGTATAATAGATCTAGAATTACATGGGAATTATATATATATATATTTGGTGTGAATCAATGGGATGTCTTGATGAGTATACCATACTTAGGGCTACAGTTGGGGTGGTTGTGTTGGGTAGTTGGGGTGGTTGTGTTGGGTATAATGCATAACCATGGGGTGCTTCGGATATGTCCTTGAACAGTGGGATGTTCTCACCCGTATAATCCACTGGTGAATCATATTCATTCACAATGTCTATGTTTTTCAACCAAAAAAATGCTACTGTATATAAACTGGTGGACCCACTATTACCCGTTATTACCCACTATGAAACACTGTTACCCACAATTAAACACTATTAACCACTACTATATAACCACTATTAGTTGACTAGTAACCATATTCCAGGTTCCGGGTCCCCCACCTCGCCCCCCACCCATGGTCATAATACCCTTCTCCCCCTGTGGTGTGGGTGGGTGGGGTGGGGAGGTTGAATATGAAGTATGTAAAAGGAATAAGAAATAAGTGGTGGATGAGCAGTATAACTTAGCGCCAGATGAGCAGCAACCAGGTGGCTTATACATTTATATATACAAATATATATGTATATACATATTATACTTTATTAAAACCATAGATATAGATAGACTATGGGTAGTACGTATGTGTTATACACAGGTTATGTATATATACACAATCGCAGTGCTATACTTGAAAAAAAAAACATATGTATGTAAAGGTATATTTGCAGCTTGGGCGTCGTTGCTGTATTCTTCAGCTAGCACAATATAAGTACGATGGATTAAGTAGTGTATGTGGTTGCCTCCTCCCCTTGGCGAGTCTGCGGATTTCGATGCTGACTATGGGTATTGACAATAGTGCGTATGTGTGTATATAATATGCATCTGTATATATATATATATGTATATACACATAATATACCTGTTATATAGCTACGCTATTCTGTAAATACGCTACAAGTAGTATATAGGTACTATATATTATATGTGCGTGTATAATACAAGTAACATCAATCATAGGCAACTGATGAATAGTATGTAGATACGCTATGGCTTGTATATAATATAGGCATATTAGGTAGAAAAGAAACATATGACATACCTGGACATACATTGACATACATTAGATACTATGGGCAGCACTTTGGTCGTATGTAGGGAGCATCTGGCTTTCAAGTACTGCAAATAATTAAACAATTAGGCTGCAAGTCGTGGAATCTGTGGCTACATGCTGCAACTTTTCTTGCCATTTCAGTCGATTTTGGGGATTTGGAAATTTCCTAAATATGGCTACCTCCAGCTCTCATCCAATTTTAATGGGATGTTCCATGACATAAACCCTCCATCTTGGGGTACCATACCATATCAGGCTGGGTCCTGGTCGGATCGCCGGGCTCCGTTGAGGTGCTTCCACCGAAGTTGGCTCCTGCGAGTTGAGGTCGTTGAGGTCCACTAACCACAAAACCCCATACATATTATATATGGTAGATATATCATGAAATATGTATAGCCATTGGTACTATGTATATCATGATACTATATATGGTAGATATATCATGATATATATGTATGTATAGCCTGTATAGCCATTGGTATCATGTTAGATCTGTAAATATTTAGATATATATATATATATATATAACCAGAGAATCGGTGATATAGATATAACATGATATAACCATAGATATCGCCATATGTGATGATATATGCTGACATATTAGTTATCGGAAAGAATAAACAAAGGCCATCAATAATTACAAAGTGACAAACTTCCCTAACCATGGGGCACCTCCTTGTACCAATCATTCATAACAACAAGGAGGGCAGCAACAATGATAACTAACAAGTGACAACAAACACACATCATCTTCATTTGAGCGTGTTCACGTTCATCCAAATCAGTTCTTCTGCAACAATTGTCCGGGCGAAAGAGCCTCCCATCTTCCTCAAAGGCTACCCCTGATTATAGCCTTTCGCCCTCAGTCAATTTTATGTTTTAAATTAAAATGAAAGTTATGCTACCAAATCTAGACCTGCGGGGATGGCTTCGACAAGTTGTCTCTCTCCATTTCTTGCACAACTCGAGGATTGTTACCTGATCCACGTCGCACGTCCCCACGCACTCCTCGACTTCCTGAAATGCCAAACACGGGTCCATGCCCCCCACGGCAGGGGCTGCGGAAAAACCGGGTCAAACCAACTTCCCCCTCCGCTGTGCTCAGCTGGGGGCTCCTCATTGCGATGAGTTGGAGCTGAGGGGTATTCGATAGATGAAGCTAGTTGATACACCGCAAGATGAGGCTAACGCTACAATTTTTGCAATTTGCTGGGCCACGTGATCCAACTGTGACCCCTTGCGCACCGGTCTGCGAGCCAACAAGGAGCAGAACAAAGAAAGGCCGGAAACGCTTGGTCTTCGGCGTTTCAAAGATCTGGGGGTTTCTGCCTTGTCCAAAACGTGTTGCAAATTTGAACTATGTTGGCCTTAGACCTCCCAATCGCCCAAGGCAAATGAGAAAGTTGTCTGAGTTTAGGATTTCTTGTGCCTGCTCTTTTTGCGAGGAGCCCTTTGGACTGTGGTTGGAGTTGATGCACCACTAGATAAACCCTGCTCAACCATCGGCAACACCTAATTCAAACAGTTCCAAACCTGGCATTCTAATTATATCATATTATATCTAATATGGGTGTTTCCATAAATGGGGATATCCCCAAATGGTTGGTCTATACTGGAAAATACCATCAAAATGGATAATTTGGGGGCATCCCCATTTCAGGAAACCACCATATATATATATATCAATGTAATTTGTTCTAAAGTTCTAAAGCATCCGAAAGCCGTGCTTGATGGCTTCCCCCCAAAATGAAGCATCATTTTAGCCCAAGGCTTTTATTTTGAGCACCGCTTCGCAGTGGGATCTCGTATTTTCACGAGTCGAGGCGATCTCCGGATTTGGGCCAAACTGGGCGCAGGAGATCAGCCGAGTCTCTGGACCATGAAGGATGATCGTGTTGAAGGACTTTGAGGCGGAATTAGGACAGGAATGACAGGAATATGATAGGAATATGATAGGAATATGATAACTATGGGCGAATTCATCAGAATCATCTTGGCTGTGGTGGCGCTTGGATTTTGCTGGGTTTTCTTGAGAATCAAGTATGTCAAATTCGCAAGTGCCATTGCAGAGAGTTAGAATGTGGGATTCCCTGGTGTGACATTAAACACCCCTTGGTTTGGTCTTGGATCCATTGGGGCGCGGGCACGAAGACCCGGCAAACCAATGTCCATTTAGTGAAGCCAGGGCTGATGACCATAGCAATAACAACAATAAGAACATATTTTGACAAGTAAAGAACAAGACGTGCTGCAAAAATGTTGCATGAAGGAAGTGTTGCAATCACTACACGTCAAAATTTGGAGACGTCACTCCATTCCCTTTCCGATGGCAATCCTGCGGCCAGATCTCAGAAATGTGCAGTCTATTAATTACCATAAGCGCTTGAAAAATAGGCCCTTCAACTTAAGCAGCCTTTGGCATACCTTGCCATGTTCAGGTTGGTAGCCTCAATTTGCGTTTCTAGTTCTGCTGTAGCAGCATCCTCCAACCTCCTTTCAATTGTTTTTTTCGCAGCCCACCTTTGCCACAGAATTGGACGGTCCAACCCCAACAACGAAAGATGGTTTTGTCTCAAAGATGAGGCCCCCCCAATTCCAACAAATCAAAATAAATCGATGATTTCAATGTTTTCCTGTGTTCCCGTAGTTTTGATGTTGATAGTTTGTGGCTATGCGGTATGCCTGCTACGTCAGGTATATAAACCCAAGTGCCGACAAACCGATGTCCAAAAGACAGCGGATATTGGCCTCACACGCCGTGCACCTGCCAACATGAGGCCACGGATCTGGAGCGTTTGGGTAAAGGCTGAAACTTTCAACAGACATTTTCTTCGAAACAAGTGTTGAAAAACTGCTGGGAAATCCGCCATTACAACCTGAGAAGATCCTTGTTGGAAAAATGCAACCAATCTGGTTTTGTCGGGAGAGGTTCTTGTCTTCCATTTTCAGTAGCATAGCCATGGGCGTGTGATTGCCCCTGAAGCCACAAATGTTCGCAATGGCCATCCATCCTTTCTTCTCCTCCTCATGCCCCTCATCATCATCATCATCATCAGCAGCATCATCATCACCATCGCCACCCGAACTCGAAGTCTTACTCAACCCTGACAACAACATGCAACAACTGCAACTACATCCGTACAAACACCATCCCACAGTATACAGTGTGGCATCCACAAGATTCCCGTCGTCATACGTCATGGTACTGGTAGAGTTTTTCACTGCTCGCCACGGGAACCACGTCTGATCCGCCTGTGCTGTCAGTTGATCCAGGCGGCTTCGCGTGCGAGTGAGTTCCTCCTGTCGTCCAAAAGGGGGCTCCTTGCTAAAGACTGAAAACCTTTTAGGATCCTTTTCGGAGGGGGATCATGGGGGATCCAGGATCAATTTCTTTTGAACGTGTCATGCACTAAAATCCGTACAAATGTTTTTGCCACTGCTCAACTGTCAGGGCTGTCACTAGGTCAAGTTGCTAGGCATACCGCCACATCTTGCTGCAACCATCGTCATAAGGTCCTCTACGAAGCTCCAAAAACGAGATTGGTTGCGGATGAGCCAAGCCTCCAGCGCAGCAGGCAACCGGTTTGCCCAAACTGGTTTGCAAATGCCCCGGACCCGCGAAGTTCCATGAACCCTCCACTTCCCATGGCAAGTCCCGCAACATGGGCCCGCTAAACTGTGCTGTTGCAACCACCCACGTTGCCGTCTAGAGCCCAGACCTGGTCATGGCACAGCTTCGCCATGTCCATGGCACGGGCACTGCCCCGGAGGCGTAAGCATCCCATCAGGAACTCCTCGATCTCAATTGCACCGCCTTGCTGCCGCGGCTGGAGAAAGAAAGGTTTTCGGCATTGCCCTTTGGAACCAAAGTGGGGTTCGATTCCCCCTGGTTCTTCTTAAACCTTGCCTTTTGGAAGCGCCTGCCCTCCCAGAAGATTTGCTCAAGCTGCACATGTGCTCAAGCCCGGCAAAAGCCCAGCGCCTGAATCTAAGTCCAAGAGCTTGAAAAAAGACCATGCCTGAGTTTCTTTTGCTGCAGGGGCATGTTCAATGATTTCAACAGAATTAAATTGAGAGATATCATTGACGCGAAAGCATTGTTCTTGCCATCCGACTTACAAGTTTTGTATGGTTTTGCGGTATAACTTTGAATTTCCCGTGAACCAATTCTGGGACCATTTCTACAGCACAAATTGTTCAGCAAAACAAAAAGGACTGCGTGCTTCCGTAGGGTGAGGCGGGTGCATGAACCGATCTGGCACTAAAGTGCCCAAATTGCTGCCCACCAAATTCCGACAAATTCACATGTAGAAAATCTCCGCTTTAACAGGGTGGACCAACTGTTGACATCTTGTCTTTTGGTCATGCAATGGGATTGGCAGACCCTTCAAAGGTACCCCATCCCGTTGGGACCTTTTCTGAGAGGGATACAATACCTTCGCACGGGTACCTTTATTTGATATAATTTTACAATATGGAATCCATGATTCAGGGCTCCAGGAACTTAATTTATGTATCATGCATCTTGGTGATTTGCCCGTCACGTCCCTTGCTGAAAGTGTGTCTACTTTTCTATCTCTTCCACATGAGATATCGCGTTGACCCACCTCCGCTGAAAAGATCTTGGAATATGAGTGCATGGCTCCAATCTACTGTATCCAGGATTGTCCTGGTACAATCCATCCAGTAGTATGTTTGACATGCCGGGCCACAACACTCACCATGCCGAAACATGTCGTCGCATTTCTCTTGCCCACCTGGAAAATTGCTCATACTGTTCCTACCTTTTAATGTCTATAATGTCCCATGGAAAAACTTTTACATGGTTGGTTTTATCCCATAGAATAACTTTTTTGGTTGGTTGGTTGCCGCAATGTTTTGTTGGCAACCATCCCATCAATCCAAGCAGCATCCCATATATCCAAATCGATCGATTCAAAATACCTCGGATACCAACAGCGCATGTTGTTGCGCGGGGTGATCCTGGAAGTTACGCAAGGATTTTAAAGCAAAATGGAACCGTGAGATAATGGTCATATCCAATAGGAACATCATCTTCCAAATTCCATTTTGGGGGTCCAGGATAGATTTGGGGGATGTAAATGTTCGGCAACTCGACCCCTTTAAGCGGCTCGGTTCACCTCTTTACTCACTTCCAGGATCTCTCTCTGGGGATTCCTCAGGATGCGCAAGTGAACCGAGCCGTCTTCTAAAGCTTTGACCATACCACCTGCCTTCTACTTGAGGAGGGCGAACGGTTCTTTCATGTTACCCTTGAAGTCCGAAAATGAGATGGTTCATCCATTTTTCCAGCTACAACTCACGCCTTTTGGCTGATAATCCGCTTTCTCATGGCCTCCGGTCATGAAACATGGCAATGGAAAAGCCTCGGGCATTTAAGTGGGACAATCGAACTTAATTAGGGATTTTTCAGCCATGTTTGATGACCAAAGGGTATGGCCCGAAAAAAAACCTTCAACCATTCACCAACCCATGACCCGGAACGGCCAGAATGGCCGGAACGGCCGGAACGGCCGGAACGGCGAACAGTCTCTCCAGGATGCGTCTGAACTTCTTTGGTGGTGACCTTGTCTTGAAACATCCTTGGCGCATCGAAGAAGGTAATCCCTATAGATCCACTACGAAACCCTGATTTCCATGGGATATTTTTATGTGTTTTGTCTGTTGGGGTTGACTTTTTTGTTGTCGTTTCAAAACAGGGAAAACTTTTTGATCCCATACCAACTGGTCTCTTGAGTGCATCTCAGCCGGTCATCATCTTGGTATGTCACTCAAAAAACCATGGTTACGATCCACATGGCCTCTGACCCACCTAATCACTGCGTGGGACATCCAAGCAAACGAATGCAGGGGGTCAAGCAATGCAATCCTCGAACAAATAGGCTCTCTCTTGTGGTTTTTGCTATCGACTCATCGAAGTGTTAAGGAATGAATCAGTTGAAAAATGTAAATCCCAATTTGTCACAATGATATTAGTACACTGAAAAAATGACTGAAGTTGCCATGATTTTCCCAGCCCCATCTCTTCCCGAGAGGATCTGATAGGTGATTACCCCTACATCCTCGGCATCAATCTCATTGAACCTGAGATTTTCGGCGAGGCCTCTGGCATCCTAAAAGGCGACCCTCTGAGATCTCAACACATGAGTGACACCCAGGGATATCTAGCTACGGATATAGCTATAGAATGACATAGATATAGCATGATATAGCTCTTTGGTCAGGATCTTGCAGATGAATTCTACTTCAGAGTTTCCAGGGTACCTTTCGATCCATGGAATCTATGGGTCGTTGTGTCTCATAGGTCAGCACTCAGCCACTATGGCACTGAGGGCGTGGAGAGGTTTTATATTTGAAAAATGTGTGGGATGGACGATCTGAACATGGTGAGCGGGCTCACCCTCTCGCTACCCAAAGCAATTTGGACCGTGAATATCTCGCTTGATGGACGGAAAACAACCCCAGCGGGAGTGAGACCCGAAGGAACCATCAAGAATCCTCTGCGGAACTGCCATAGCAAGTCAACGTTCATTTCATGAAAAGTAAGTTGCATATTTGTTTGGGCAAACACAAATATATATATATATATGTGTGTGCATTTTTTATTCATGTTATTTTGATATATACCTATATAAGTGTGTGTGTGCGTGTGCATATGTACATATATAGTGTGTATATATATATATACATATACATATACATATACATATACATATACATACAAGTGCGTGTGTGTGTGTGCATATGTGTGTATATACACATGTATGTCTATGATACTTTATAATGTCGCAAAACAAATTACAAACCATCCCCAAGTTTTGCAATCCCAGACCCCAATCCCAGACCTCTTCAGCCTGGTCGCAGATATCGGATTTTTTCGATATGCGCTTGCTTGTTTGCCAAAATGGATTGGAGGACGGCATCGTGATCACTTTGGGCGCTATCGATGGCACTTTGACAGAAAACCTCGTTTCAGTGCGAGGGGGCGTGTGAACTTTGATCTGAACTGCCCCCAAATAGACAGCGCAGAGCAAGGGGAAGCCACAGCAGCAGCAGCAGCAGCAGCAGCCCACCACGAAAGCACGCCATGAACACCAAGGCCAAAGGCCCAACGGGAACAAACGACTCAAGGCGGCCAGGCCACACCAAAGGTGCAAACAGCCCAGCGAAAAGCAAACCAACACCGCAAAAAGGAAACCAACGGCAAAGACCCAAACCAACCAAGCCAAATCCAGAGGGGAAGCCCACGAAGGCAAGGCAACCCCAAAGGGAGTGCAGGTGGGCAAGACCAATAAGCCGGAAGGTAACTAGGACCATCATACAAACAAGCAGAAATCATGAACATGGGACCGTGGGAAAGTGCGAACTATGTTGCAGCGCGAAGGGGAAAGAAAATTTCAAACCATGGACCATGGGAAAGCATGCATCTACATATATACATGGGTACATAGATACATACCAGCCCGTACCGTACCATTCCATTCCATTACATACATACATACTACTGCACATAGTTGTATATTTTCTACGTGCAAATATATATATATATACACACAAAAAAAAACAAACATCTACATATATATATATATATGTTTATTTATATTTGTTGAACACATAAACCCCATTTTTCATACCAAGTATCACGGAAGGCCGGTTCCAATTTCTTTCGTAAGTTATCTGCTCCAGGATGCTTGCCGGCTACCAAGACACAAAAAAAAGGCACCACCGCCATACCATTGTAGATACATAATAATCATAAATCTGTATATATATATAATCTATCTATCTATCTATCTATCTATCTATCTATCTATCTAATTATATTTATATATATAATATATATGTATATGTGCGTGTGTTTGTGTGCAATGTATGCATTTACTGCATCTATAGGTACACGCACATAGATGCTTGCATATATTTTTACGTACATTTAGCGCATCTACACGCAAATGACATGCATACACACGCGCACACATATATATATATGGGTTAGTTAGTTATTTAGTTAGTTACTTACTTACTTAGTCAGTTAGTTTTATGAGTATTTTTTAGTTATCTGTAGGAAGTATGGCTGAATTAAAGTAATTTGCGCATTGTTGGGTAATTCCCCCTACTAACCACCATTCAATCCCGATGTCTAAATACACCGTCATCATGGCACGACTTTAGAAACTCTCTGCATCATCGTCATCACCATCATCATCACCATGACCATAACATATCAAGTGTGCATATATATATGTGTGTGGGTGGGTGTGTGCATCAGTGCATAAATAAATAAATAAAAATAAATAAATAAATAAATATGTGTGTGTGCATGCTTCTATATATATATATGTGTGTGTGTGTGTGCGTGTCTGTGTGTGGTTGCCCCTGGAGGCCTCTCCCATTTCGCCCAGTGAAAAACTCATCACAACTGCGACTCAGGGACGCCCGTGACCACCTGAGGAGCCATCGAAAGCATCGAGGTTTGCGACATATGATAGGTTGACTATAGCTATCTATGGTGATGAACTATGGTTTATTGCTATTAACTATGGCTATTAACTTTAAACTACTACAAACTATGGCTTATAATTTTTTAATGTTGTGAAACAATCACAGGGCAACCATTTAGTAGTATAGTTAATGGTTCCACAGTTTCTATCAAAAACTCATTGACTAATGATATATCAGCAACAATTTGGGAGTTGTGACTGTACCACCTAAAAAAAGGTGATGACTGGGGGATGGCCTATGACATTGTTTAGCCCACATTATAGTATCATAATGTTGTAAATGATCACAATATGACCTTTACACTATCATATCATATCTATACTGTTCTGTAATCCTGCGCGCTATGATCGAAGGAAGTTTAGAAATCAAACTTCCGACAACATGGACAAATCAAAAGCAGAGGTCGGAAGAGTCCGGGAAGAGAAAGGCAAAAGAAGAAGATCAGAGAAGAGAAAGAGTCAGAAGAAAGAAGATGCAGGTGCACGAACGTGTTTTTCCCATGTTTTGTGGCTCCGGAGGGTCGAAAAGATCGAAAAGTAGGCTCGCTAAAGCGGCGGGTGCGGAGCCATCTGGTGAGATAAGAGATGAAAAATTGTGCGCCGTTGTGGCGCGAAACACATCTCAAAGTCAAAATGGTAAAAACACCGCATGTTCGCAACATTTTTGGACGTTCAACCGCACCACGCTACACAGCAACGACACGGACAAGGACAACCACAACAACAACAACAACAACACCAACAACAACAACAACAAGCACAACTACTACTACTACTACTACTACTACTACTACTACTACTACTACTACTACTACTACTACTACTACTACTACTACTACTACTACATACTACATACTACATACTACATACTACATACTACATACTACATACTACATACTACATACTACATACTACATACTACATACTACATACTACATACTACATACTACATACTACATACTACATACTACATACTACATACTACATACTACATACTACACATACTACTACTACATACTACATACTACATACTACATACTACATACTACATACTACATACTACATACTACTACTACTACTACTACTACTACTACTACTACTACTACTACTACTACTACTACTACTACTACTACTACATACTACATACTACATACTACATACTACATACTACATACTACATACTACATACTACATACTACATACTACATACTACATGCTACATGCTACATGCTACATGCTACATGCTACATGCTACATGCTACATACTACATACTACATACTACATACTACATACTACATACTACATACTACATACTACATACTACATACTACCAACTACATACTACTAACTACATACTACTAACTACATGCTACTAACTACATGCTACTAACTACATGCTACTAACTACATACTACTAACTACATACTACTAACTACATACTACTAACTACATACTACTAACTACATACTACTAACTACATACTACTAACTACATACTACTAACTACATACTACTAACTACATACTACTAACTACATACTACTACTACTACTACTACTACTACTACTACTACTACTACTACTACTACTACTACTACTACTACTACTACTACTACTCTACTACTACTACTACTACTACTACTACTACTACTACTACTACTACTACTACTACTACTACTACTACTACATACTACATACTACATACTACATACTACATACTACATACTACATACTACATACTACATACATCCTACATCCTACATCCTACATACTACATCCTACATACTACATACTACATACTACATACTACTAACTACATACTACATACTACATACTACGACGACGACGACGACGACACGACGACGACGACTACTACTACCACCTACTACTACTACTACTACGACGACGACGACGACTACTACCACCTACTACTACTACTACGACGACGACGACGACTACTACTACTACCACCACTACCTAGTACTACTACTACTACTACCACCACTACTACAACCACCATCACCACCACTACCACTACCACTACCCCTACCCCTATCACTACCACTACCCCTATCACTACCACTGCCACTCCCACTACCACTGCCACTCCCACTCCCACTACCACTGCCACTACCGCTACCACTACCACGACGACGACGACGAGGACGACGACTACTACTACTACAACCACCACTACTACTGCTACTACTACTACCACCACCACCACCACCACCAGCACCACCACTACCACTACCACTACCCCTACCACTACCCCTACCACTGCCACACTGCCACTCCCACTACCACTGCCACTGCCACTGTCACCCCCACTCCCACTACCACTGCCACTACCGCTACCACTACCACGACTACGACGACTACGACGAGGACGACGACGATGATGATGATGAAGACGACGACGACTACTACTACTACTACAACTACCTCCACAACTGTTACAACTACTGCAACTACTACAACTATTACAACTACAACTACTACAACTACAACAACTACAACTGCAAGAACAACAACAACAACAACAACTACTACTACTACTACTACTACAACTACAACTACTACAACTACTACAACTACAACTGCAAGAACAACAACAACTACTACTACTACTACTACAACTACATCTACATCTACGTCTACATCGACATCTACATCTGCATCTGCATCTGCATCTACATCTGCATCTACATCTACATCTGCATCTACATTTGCATCTACATCTACATCTACATCTACAACAACTATCACTTTAGTTACAACTGCAACAACTACAACTACAACTACAACTACAACTACTACCCCGCTACACTACACTACACTACACTCCACTTCATCACATTACACTAAAACTACGGCTACACTACACAACAACTACAACTTCTACGACGGCTACAACTACAACTGCAACATTGCAACTACTACAACAGCATCAACTACAGCTACAGCTACCACTGCACTACAAGACAACTACAACTACAGCTACAACTATAACCCCACTATACTACACTACACTCCACTTCACCACAAGACACCACCACTACACTACACTAAACTACACTGCACCACAACAACAACAACAACAGCAACAGCAACAACAACAACAGCTACAACGACTACAAGTACTACTGCGGCCTCAACTACAACATTGCGGCTACAACTACAACAACAGCAACTACAGCTACCACTACAACTACATTACAATACAACTGCAACTACAACTGGAACTGCCACGACAATTACATTGCACTACACTACATCACAGTACATGCAGAAGTTGTGGCTGAGGTGACCACTGCAACCATTTCAAAAAGAACAACTCCAACCACCTTTCGGTCCATCAGTGAATTCGCTCTGCCATCCATGCATCACAACAACTCACCTCTCCTACTAGCTACAGTGTCCTATCTTTGATTTGAATGCGGTACTACTGGTATGTAATATGATAC